CCAATTACACCTCATTCTTTCCCGATTTCACCCAAAAAATAAATGCAATTGGACTGATTGAAAGAAATAAAAGAAAGCTGGAGTGCCATCGGGCTAAAAGAAAAGACGAAAATAAAGTCTGATCCTAATTATGACAAGGGAGCTGCAGTTTTTTTTTCCAGGAATAGGAGAACAAAATAAAACATTTGGAGGATAATCATGCGTCTAAAGAAATGCAAACCTTCAGCAAAAAACTTTTAATTATGTTTGTTATGTGATGAATCAATGTTTAAATTTTGTTGTTTTAAAATTTGTAATGTATAAACAACTGTACTTTTTATTCTCAATTATAGAATAAAATGTAAAAATTTTGAATTTATTCAACATAATCTTGATATGGGCAGTGGTTGCCTCTGTGACATATCAATAAATATAATTGCAACTAATTTTTCTGTTGGTAAAATTGACAGAATCTGGATTGATCTGGATATAAATTAATTTAAAATTCAAAGACCTATATCAGAAAAGTGCCCCAGATCCCAGATCATTTCCTTTCAACATTCTGAATTCAAATAAACACCGATTTCCTTTTCTTAATAGGATTTTTTTTACAATTTTGCATGCATTGTATGAGAAATAATTTAATTGAATCTCAAAATTTTGCACTTGAAATGTCTGAAATTTTTAATTTCTTAAGTGCTGCAAAAGTTAAAGCTTAAAAAGTTGAAACAAAAACGTTTTCAACCTCAGAAAAAGCACAGTAAAAGGAATGTAAAAGTTATCTGTCTCAGTTTTGAACCGAAATGCCACTTGAAGAAGATTTATCTCTTTTTTGATATAAAACAAGTCTCTTTTGCTTCAAATGTTAATAGAAAGATTTTAATTAAAAGAAAAATATGTGTTAAAAAAGTTGGAAGCGACGTGTGTGTGTAGGCAGACGATTGGCAAAGATGCAAATGCGAACGGGTGCGATCGTTTTATAGGAAAAGTGGCGGCCAGGAGGAGGGGGGGGGGGAAGTCATCCTTCGCTCGGACACGCACTGAGAAGGTGCGAACGGGGGAATCAATTAGAATAAGAGGCCGCAATCAAATATCATCTCTCGCTCCGCGAACGAGTTTGCAAAGTATCGATTGCGAGGAGCGGCTGGTCGGTGTTGCAGCATCCCTGGCTCGATCTGATAGAGCCAATTTATTAGGCCACATCACGCCCCCGCTCTCTACTCGAATTATCTCGCGCGCGCCCATTTACATAATGTAATAACGCGCCGCATCCCTTAAATTCCAACCCCTCTCGCTCTCTCTCTCTCTCTCTCTCTCGTGTCTGCTGTTGATGTGCAGTTGTTATGTAATTGAAAAGCGCAAAAGTGCCCATAAACTGCAAACACACAGCATACGTCCCCCGAAATGGAAAATTGATTTTGTGTTGCGACAAAAAGCCGCTCCATGATTCATGCCCGAAAACAAACAGAGATTGTGCGACGTTTTGCATTACCATTTTAGCTTGGCAAAACGTAAATTTAAATTTTATTTTAGTCATTTCCTGCTCAAACTTATCCATAATTCTGCCAAGCGGCTAAAATTCGATGTTAAATTAATTTTTCTTTCCAAAGTATGGATCAAAATAAAAGTAGTACAGAAAAATTGAAAACAGAAATCCTGATCTTTCAGATTTCCAATTAATAGCTAAACATTTAATTTTTAATTCGTTTCCTCGCTCAGTTTCTGAATCTTATACAGTAAATTTTTTGGAGAATCACACACTCTCAATTAATTAACAAAAAAAAATGCATTTTTTATTGATGAAATGGTCAAATTTTGCAAATCAATAAATAGCTAGTAAATAATTATTATAAAATATATATATAAAATATATCCGAAATCTCACCTTGCTCTACAAAAAAAAAAGGATTTAGAGAATCTCATAATGTTCATATTTAAAACTTGACTTTAATTATTAAACAATCTCAATTGACCTGAATAATAATTTAAAATTGATGGAACTACATTCCAAAGAGGGATCGTCGATTAAAAACATCTTTAGCCTCCAAATGCGTCACGCAACTTTTTGGGTTGAGGACTGCATATAAATAAAACCTTGCAGATCTTCTCCCCGTCTATATATTTTAACGCAATAAATTAAAAGTGCGCTCGCATTAAAATCCGATCTAAATCAAAACGTCGCTTTCTTTCTCGGCGGAAGGTCGAAAATCGCAATAAACAAGTCGACAAATTAACGAGATCAAGTGCAAAGTCCCGAGGCGAGTCTCGAAAAATGTTCTGCACAGGTGCAGCTTTTCAAACTGACGAGCAAAAATAATGAAGTCTCTCCATCTTCTTTGAGAGGTCGAAACGCATTTTGCATAAATTTCGGCGCTCTCGAGGAAGTGCGCTCTTTTAATTTGAGGCCAAATTAAAAGGCACTTGGCGCGAGATAAAATGCAAGACACGTGCGTGCTTTTGACATTTTCTTTGTTTCGCCGCCGAATAGGTTAAGCACGCGACGCAGGCAGACTCCGCTCGTAAACTGCAATTACGCGCGCGTCGCGCCTCAAAAAGCCAAAAACATTGTTGTTTTTTTCTTTGCGTTAAAAATTTCACCTAAATAGGAGACGAGTTCGGTTTAGTTTTATTCATTTATCTATATCTAAGCAATTTATCTCATCATAAAGGGCTGGGGGGCTGGGAATGATTTTTCTTTTATTTCAAACAGAAAATATTAATTTGTATTCCTATGTTTGCAAATAAGTCAAAATTATAGTTTAAAAGAAGTAAAAAAATCCTTGCAATGACATAAATATTTGCTATGATTTTTTCTTCCTTAAATTGAATTTCAATAACACGGTGAAAAATTCAATCAACTTGTATTTCCAGCTTTTCAATGTTCTTTCTGCAAGAATTATAATTTAATTACACTTTTATTAGCATCAATAGCATCGTTTTTATAACAAGAAAATCTGTGGGGATTCATATTCATTGCTTTTTATAATACAAAAATTTCCCTACTTTTTTTGTAAAATTTTATTCATTTCATTTTATTTTTTCTTTTCATTTTATGACCAAATAAAATCCTTCGGACCGTGAAAATTTCAGTGCCTTTTATTTATATTCACTTCTTTATCAATTTCCACTAATTGCCTCTTCGTTTATTTTATTATATCATTTGTTTCAGTCCACTTGAAATGGACACTTTCGTTTTCATCCCATGTCGTAATTCCTCGGCGCATTCCTCAACGGCGCATCAGTCAAGATAAAAAAAATAACTCTTAATTCGTCTTTCGTGCATCAGATTCGTCCGAGATAGGCGATTGAAAAGGTGTCCGTTGCATAATCTCGTAAAAATAATAGTCATTTGCTTTTGAGAGTGAAAACGAGAGAGAGAGACATGCGAAGAGAGATTGGAAAAGCAGATCTTGTTCGCAGCGGGAATGGGCGTCAAAAATATATTTATTCATTTCGTAACGAAAGAGATGCTCAGACTAGTCAGACGAGGTTTTTCTTGTTATTTTTTTGGAATTATTACAGCAGCAGATGTTCAACGCGGAAAGCCTTTTAATTTATCTGAAAAATATTTAGCCCACAAAACAGGATGACAGGCCTGCTTACACAAATCACGCGGCATTATCCGCAACACGCTACTTGATACCTTTCAACTTAAACCATAAATTTCATTCAAGTAAGAAAAAAAAATGCTCTGGTCCATTGAGAAAGAGATGAAAAGCACAAACAACAATTATTTAACAATTAGAATCAAGAGAGAGATAATTAGCCACTTTACCTTCAAAAGAGCGTTAAACTGCCGAGCTCATTAACAAAGAAGTGTGGCCCATTTAAAAAGTTGCTCCGTTTTTTTTCCTTCGTAAAATGTGTCGCGTGAGAAGTTTGGAAGTCGTAAAACTCTATAGAGGCGCATTGTTTTGCTTGTCGTCGCTGCATCTGCTTTTGCACTCAAATTTTTGCAACTTTTTAAAATTAATTACTTTATGGTTTTCACTGAAATAAAGACATAAAAAATTCCAAGTAAAAAATCAATTTAAGCTTCAAATATGATACACTGAATGAAAACTTTTGAACCTTTTTCCATACCAATCTTCATTGGGGTGATATGAACGCGATTAGGTGAAATTTTATAAATTTTGGTTGGGCAAATTTAGAGGTCAAAATTATTTTAGAAAATTCCCATAAGAAAAATAGTTACATTTCAAAAATTGATTTCTCCAAATGAATGGAATATTTCTATCTTCATCTCCTTAGAACTAAAATCCAAAGCTAATTATCATCAAAATTAATCAGGCCGTTTATTTTTCAGCAAAAGCCTCTTAAATAATAAAAATATTGTTCTTATTATTATGAAATTGGCCCAATTAAATGACCTTTGACCACCATGAAGACTACAATTCGCGCAAGATTGGAGTACGTGCTTTACCGCTGGAATCCTCCACATAATAATTGAAAACCGCAAAACCGTGCCGTGCAATGCTTAATGGAATTAGGCAATTCAGCGCTTTTCCCAGGACGAATCCGAAAAAATATTCAATTTCGAACTTTAAACTAGAATATAAAAAGAAGTACAACATATAAGATAGGCGCGGTTTTGCAAGAGAGAGAGAGGATTCAGGCACAATAAATTTCACGCTTAATTTTATTTATCTGAAATGCCACGTGTGTGTGTTGCATCAAAAGAAAGAAAGAATGAAGTTGGGCTTCTTCCTGCCGCGCTACTGGTCAGCGCGTTGCTAATTACTTGTATTTTATCTTTTAAGGCGCTTCCTCCGCCGCTGCATTGTTCAAAGGAGCGACTACTTCACGCATCGAGTGCGGCAAAAAATGGAAAAAAAAAATAATAATAATCTCGTGCACGCCGCGCGTTTCATAACTCTCGAGAAGAAAAATTGCACGGCGGCGTAACATTGAGAGTGAGATGAGAAATAAAAAGGGGAGGCGCTTCTCGTGAGTTGTGTTCTTTCTTCTCTCTATTATTATTAATAACCCGGTCGAATAATCGACTTCCCTGCAACCTGCAGCGAGTGGGGATCGGTCCTGCGAGTAGGTAGACACCCTTCCCTCTGGAGTTATGTGTATCACGATCCACTATAAAAGCACCCAGCCGCCGCAAACCCATGTCAAATTCACTCCAACACCTCAACAATGAAGATTGTAAGTGCTCTAGTCTCGCTACTTTTCCACCCACCAAATCAAACTCTGCATGCAAACTCGGATTTCCCAACATCTACTGATCCCATTCGGTGAGACCGTTCGATTTTCAAAACCTGCACAAAACTCCTATCAATAATTCGCACTTTTTTATTTTCGTGCTCCAATTTACAATTGAATTCATTTTGTACTAATTCACTTGTTAAATTTAAAAAAAAAGTTCAAAATTTTATTTCTTTTTTTTTTACCAAGTTTTTCCTTTTAATATTCCTTTTATTTCTGTACTCCAATAATTTAAATAATTCCATAAATTAATTATTTTTAAAAGTGGTCTAATTTAAAAATTTCCATCTATACACAATTTTTTTAAACAAAAGATTCAGCCACTTATAAATTAATTTCTTCCATTAAATATTGGACCTGATTTTGATGCAAAAGTTTCTCCAATTAAATTTATTCGCCCCACTTTCTTTTAATTAAATGTTTAGAGTAAATTATTTCAAATAACTTGCCCTATATTATTATCCAAAAATAATTGTTCTTTTGCAAGAAATTAATTTTTGCACCCAATTTTTCTGAACTCTGCATTCTTTTGTTGCGACTCACGAAGCCATCTCGGCCTTTGCATGAATTTTTATGCCAAAGTGGCGTCCCGTCCTCCTCCTCCCTTTTTAACGAGGTCGCAAAACAAAACAAATGTCAGCCGCCAGCAGCGCATCCATCCAGCCGTTCGCTGATTTTCCCTCTTCTTTCGTTCTTTCCACCCACCGCGGACAAACTCTCTGATTCTTTTTTTCCCAACATTTCACTCGCGTGAGAGAAAGAAAGGGCGGCGCGCACATAATTCGCCCTCTCTCGCGACTTTTCGATCTCAAATGTGTGTAACAAGACCGAATTGCAGCTCGGCAAATTTGCATACGCAATATTTCATTTTCTCGCTCGCTCCCACCAGCAAATTCTCAAATCAAATTCCCTTCTATTTTTACTCGGGTTTATTTCTTTTACTGAAAAATTGTTTCATTAGCATTGATAAAATTTTTTATAAATCTTGTTAAATTGGAGACAAAATTTTAAAATTCAATTACAAAATTTCAAAAATATCATTTGTTTTAAACATTTAATTTATTGAAACTCTCAATTAAAATATAATTATAAAAGAATATTTAGATTATAAATATTAATTGAAACTTTCTCATAGAAAACGTGAAGGCGGTTTTAATGTATTTGCAAAACAATTTAAAAAGCAATCAGTCGAGAAAATATTGCAACGTGCACTTTTCTAATGCAGTTTGTGTCAATCAATTTTACTGCCGAGCGCAATTAGTCGGTCACGAGACGACGCAAATCATCACGATTTGATTGCAGACCTGTCTGCTGTGCACCTGCCTGCTGAGCGTGGCTTCGGCCCAGTTCAACCGACGGCCCGTGGCCCCCGCCGGCCCCATCTACCGCTCGCCCGAAGCCAGCGCCGCCATCCTCACCTACAACAACGACCACGGCTTCAACGGCGACTACAGATACGGGTAATTATTACAAACTACTCTGAATTATATCAAAATAATATATAGAATTTCTTATATATTTTATTCTCCTTTGTTTCTTATACTGATTCAATTTGTATAAAAGTTCAAAATATTTAATTGGTTTTGTGCTTTTCTTTAATTAAAATTTATCAAGTTTTATCTATTATAACTTTTTAATCAAATAAAAATTTAAAATATTGAAAATAATCTCCTAATTTCTTTTGGTGTCAATCAATTTAAATTGTAAAAATACTAAACAATCATTTCTTTTTACAATAACAATAGGATATAGTGATTTTTAATATCTTAATTTTTATAAATATTTTAATTAACCTTATCATTAAATTTTTTACAAATTTATCATTGGATGAGGGAATAAAGTTAATTCTCTCAGGAACTAAATTTGCCTTGTAAATTTTACTTTATATTTCTTCAGAACTTTCAACCAACAATTAAAATAAATAAATATTTATCATTAAAGTGTTATAAAGTTTTCCAGAAATGAAATTTCTAGTTCTTTTCATTCTGTGTTAGATCACGACTAGTCTATTCTAAATATATGTAGTGACTTAAATTGGACTCATATGGAGGAAATTACAAGACTTTGAAATCTCAAATTGGCCACCATAAATCTGGCGGCCATTCAAGTACCTTTTAAAATCAATTTAAAGTTGGTCTTCCAACATATGGTTGAACTCGTCCTGCCGAGGACTGTCCGAATTTGAAATAATAAAAAACTTTTTGCAGATACTCGACGAGCAACGGAATCCAGGCCCAGGAGCAGGGCTACCTGAAGAACCCCGGCACGAACGTGGAGGCGCAGGTGGCGCAGGGATCGTACTCGTACACCGGCCCTGACGGCATCCTGTACACGGTGACGTACATCGCCGACGAGAACGGCTTCAGGGCGGAGGGCGCGCACCTGCCCACCCCGCCACCCCTGCCCGCGCACGCCCTCGAGCAGATCAGGTTCGCGCAGCAGCAGCAGGCCGCCGGCGCCAACCGTTTCAGCGGTTGACCCTGAGCACTTCTTTCTTATGTACCTACTTCGTAGAAAAGCGAATCAAAAATAAATGCAAAAATTGTGTTTTCAATAAAATCGAGGTCTTCTTCTTTTACCCAAATAAAATCGTGGCGCTGCAAATGTCAAGGATTTCCTCCGGCCGGTCTGCTTTTGCGCAACAGCCGTGAGAACAGAGCAGACGAATTAATAATTTTCACGCTTGTGCTCGTCTCTCTATTATTATAATTCTCGACCGAACCCAAATCGCTCCGGACGACCTCCCGCAAAACTCCGCCTTCAACAAAGGGCAATGAAATAATTTTCTTAATTGTCTTGATTATTATATTTGACATTTGATCCACAATCAATTCAATTCCAATTAATAAAATTATTATTAAAAGCTGCATTTTTTTTCAAATGAAAACAACTTGTTGCCCTTTCTACTGCTCAGAAACGTGATTTCTTTTCTCCGGAGTTAATTTATTTTACGAGTAAAGAAAAGATCATTTGCGCTGGGCGTTGAATGGAGAAGAGACTCGGTGTGGGAGTTGATGGTTTTTGCGCGCGGCCTTTCTTCTGTCTTCATTGTTGGAGGAAATAAAAAAGCCATAAATTTGATTGCACCCCGCCGGGAGATACTTTTTTAAAATGCCAACTGAGGTACATAATAAATTGAAAGAACTGAAACTGAAGCTCGGCGCGGCGCGGCGCCAAAATTCAAAACAACCGCAAAACAAATGGAAAAACAGAGCGTGCGGTGACAGAATTTGAAATGAGCGGCAGCAGAAAACCTTGGCGAGGTGAAACGCGAGAGAGACGAAAACAAAATCTCAGAAAAATGTAAATAATACATAATACGACGAGTGTACAATCTCTGATGTGAGTCATCTATCGTCTAACTTGGCTTCAAATAGAACGAGAGAGGGGAGTGAATCATTTGCAAGCAGTCAAGTGCAATTTGATTCATACAGGAGAATGAACTCGGAGAAACATTTAAATTGACTTTTAACTTTTACAAGCATATACTGACAAGTTGAAACTTTCATAACCCAGGAAATCAGGAACTGAGTTTCATATACTAATAATATGTTTTAAATTCGCGATTTTTGGGGTAAAATTTAATCTCTTTGTGCTCAATATTTCATGCAAAATAATAATCGCTAGCTCTCACTTTCAGCTACATTCGAATCCTTCAAAAATTAACGTGGCAAGTTTTAGAAATTACCTTTGGACTTTAAATTTTGATTCGCTGGGGAGGAATTTCCCGGAGTCTCCGATTTCAATCTAATTTTGATTATTTGCTTCATTTGATAGGACGAAAGTATGCAACAAGAAAAACAAAAATGCAGGGTCAATGTGATGGACCTTAACTTCTATTTGCAAAAGTACCATCCATTTTTTTTTTAATTGGCTAAAATGAGGTGTAATAATTGTATTTATAGATTTAAATATATGTAATTAATTTAAATTCAATAAAGACCCAAACAAATTTTTGACTTGGTTACAAGTATGTGCACAAAGTCAGATCCTTTCCAAATTATCGCTGCAGTCGAAATACCTCAGAATGAAATTCGGGAAATAGGTTTTCAAAATTATATAGACTTTAAAAAAACAAATCTACACATTTAGCATAATTTACATGAAAATATTAATTTGAATTATTTATTGATGTGAATTGATGTGAATCAGAGCACTATTTGATCCCTGTTCCTTGAATATATATCATGGATATACCCAGATATACCCAAAACACATTAAGATATATATAATTTTATTATATTGCATGGATTAAGGATGTGTTTCCTTGTTCTTATTTATAGTCTTCTATATTTTTTCCAATAAATTTTTCATTTGAAACCAAAGATTAACTCCCACTTTAATTGCAAGTCTCTGAAAGAAGGGGATTTATTTTTATTCAGAGATATATAATTTTGTATCTTTGTTACCAAAATTAGCTATGCTTGTTCATTTTTTATTTGAAACTTAAAAGTAACGCAATAATTCCAATTTTATATCACATTTCAGTTCACTAGAACCTGCTTTTAAGACCATAAACTGAATTAATGTGACGCGCGTGTTTCTAGACCAGTTGAAATGGTCTCGCTGCTCCCAATAAAGCTGTTGTGCCTTAAACACGTTATTTGCCCTTGCATTGAAGAGAGCCGACCGCAGCAGCTGACATTTTATTGTTTTGATTTAAAATACCTCGCGCTCGCGGCAGCCAAAAGACTTGACCTTCCCCAATCTCGCGCGATAAATTTTACTTAAAAAGTGCCACCGGAGTTTTGTTGTAATAATTGCAAGTAATTTCCATTCTTGACGGAGAAAAAAAGGGAAGGATTATATACGTCGCATTGTGCAAAGGCGAGTTTATTCACTTTTGCAATGGGATTAATTTTTTCAATTAGAAAGGCATCTCTCATTTGCAAGTAGTGCGGTGTCGCGTATGTGAGAATCGATTATGGAGCATAGTTTATATTATAATGAATGCATAAAAAGCCGGTTTTATTTATAGACCGAATTCAGTCTAAAGAGAGTGAGAGTGAGAAAAGCAAAGGTGAGCAACTGACAGTCAGTCTCAATCTCGGCCGGTGTCGCCGCATCTCGACCTTGCAGCTCCTCTTTACAGAAAAAATGCATAATTAATCCCTTAAAGTGTCGCGCGGCGGAGAGGTTACGCGAACAGGCCAACGGCAATCATGCCATCATCGCAGTAATTTATCGTTTGATTGCGCTGCACCTGCGATCATACATGGACAACTGCAATTACTATTTTACAGAGCCGCAAATTGCTTTTGAATTGGCCCGAATAAAATTGGATCGAAGTTCAAAAGTAATAAGGTCACAACTTGGTCTGATAGAAAGAAATTTTGTGATTTTAAAAAGCAAAATAATAATAAATGTATCTTTTGCCTAAAACATACCATATTTGTTTTGCCTGCTCTAAATCAATTTAAAATGTATTTAATTGGCGATTTTTGCTGCATTTCATTAACTTCAGTGACTGCCTGCGACGGTAAAAACCAAGAAAACTATTTGTAACATAAATAAATCGTCATTTTTTTAAATAGCGAATTATAATATATAATATTGTCATTATTATAATTTATAATATAAGAAGGATATTTTTCAAAATATGGTAGAGATGTAAAAAAATAAATCTATACTTTTTTTCTTAAAAAAATTAAGTTTTAATTTTTAGGAATGTTAGGGTGGTTGTGTAAGAAATTCAGATTTAAAAACAATTTCAATGCCAAATTTCAACACTTTAGCAATTTTTAATAAAGAAACTCATACCTAGAGACACATTAAATTAATTCTTTTTTGAGAGTATTGAGATTTATGATAATTATGATTAATATTATTTGAAATTAGTTTTAAAGGTTTTGATTTGCTCATGCTCGATTAGTTTCAAAATTCCACAACATATTTCAATAACAAAATTCTCCATAAAAATTTCCTCAATAATTATCCAGAATTAGGTTCAATTAAATCAAATAAATTTAACAAAACTTCCTTCATTGTGAAGATCTGTTTAATTAAATTTGACCTTTGTAGAATTGATTAATTTTCCAATTAATGAAAAACATGCAACAAAGCAAATGAGTTAATTTAGAAAGGTTACACATAAAAAATGCTTGATTTCTTTCAGAACATTTGATACAAAGATAAAAAAAAACTTTGTTGCCCTTTATTTTCTACAAACCTATCTCCATACGTGCTTTCATTTCCTCGGTATTAATTTACATTTCATTAGTAGAAAACACCAATTCAGGGGTTTTAACTTTCTTAAAGTTATTTCAAAATCTGCATAATAGTTGAAATAATTCAAAACTTGAACTTTAAACCGGCTTCATCAAGGGTAGACTGGCCTTTGAGGCGACATTTTTTACCTTTTATGGCAACTAAAGTATTTTATAATTAAACGTTTCAATTTTTAGCTTAATTGTGTTGCGTTCCAACGTTATTTTACACGTGCGCATCAAAACAAGCAAGAATGAGAGGTGACATAATTTCCAAGACGCAAATTACGCAAGTGGAAACGCGCTCTCATCCCACACACGTCGCGCGCCGCGGCGATAAATGAGTTTGCAATTTTTCTCTTTTTTGGCCACTCGACACCTTTACCACTGAATTGTATACTCGAGAGAGATATCGCGTGTTGCGCGACGCGAAATTCGCGCAGTTTTCGGATTTACTTCTTCGCACACTTGTCTGCTGGGAACATCTCCGAGGCGCGACCTTCAATCATGGTCAACACAAACAATCCTTGATTTACCATGTTAGAAAATGAAAAGTGCCAAACAAGCAGTTAAAACCTTAAAAAACTTGGCGGCCGAAAGTAATGAGTGGAGAAAAGATGCTAATTCCAAAGTAAATAATATTTATAACAAATGAGAAGAAACTGTTTGCACAATCTAGAAAAAAAATTAATAAATTGAAACGAATTGAGACGCTGCAATAAAAGTGAAACACACACGCAGGTTGATTTATTTATTTGGACTTTGGCAAACACGTTTTTTAAGAAACCTTGTAAATTAAGTCTGTCGCGAGCGCACAGCAAGCGGCCCGATGACAAATTGCGTTGACCGTTGAGACACTCTTAAATGAAAGGTGGGTCGGTCGCATCTCTCTCTCTCTCTCTCTCTATGTTCCAGCGAGAGCATTAATACAACTAAAGAGCGCTAATTCAAGATGATCAGCACAAAAAGGGTGGGGTGGGAGAGGCTCCTTTAACCGTATATAAACCGCTCATGGGGATCCAGAGGCAGGACACTTTCATTCTCAATACACAATGATGTACAAGGTAGGCGCTCCACACAGCAGCAGTGCCCAGCAGCACCATAGCTAACGACTTTTCCACTTTTCCAGTTCGCCATCTGCCTGGCCCTTGTGGCGGCCGCCTCCGCCCGCCCCCAACAGAAGAGCGCCGACGAGCCCATCGCCATCCTCCGCCTTGACAACGAGGGTGTCAACCACGACGGCTCCTACAAGTTCGGGTAATTAAAAACCTCAACAATTATAAAAATCAAAGAAAGAAAGCTCGACCTTTGCCCCGCAGAGCTAATTTATTTCGTATATTTACGCCCATAATTATATTTTATCTGATTCTTTGTCTCTAAATTATCGACTGCTTAACGTCAACAGTCCATTAGATAACACATAAATAATTTTCAAAGGATTTCTATTGAATTTATTGGCAGAGTTCTGCGCAGTTTCCTAATCGAAGGTTGAAATTTGATTTAAAAGGCGTAAATCTGAAGATGACATTTGGACACTTCTGCGCAGTATCAATTACATTTACACTAACATGATGAACTTGATGGCCTAAATTAGCCTGAATTATGCCTGGAAACTGATTTTTTTTTTAATTTTTCATTAAATATCAGCCCAATTAAAAGTAATTAAAATTTATCAAATAAACTTAACATCAATCAAATTTTTTTTTCTGCCAAAATGAAATTACAGATCCCTTGAATTCAAATTCTTAATTTGAAACAATGAAAGTTTCAGATAAGACATTACTTCAGCACACTTTCTTTCCACCTTCAAATTCACTTTCCTTTTATTTGCATGACGTTTACACTTTAATTTTTTTGGCAGTTTCGACACGGCCAACGGCATCTCTGTTGACGAGACCGGCTACAACAAGCCCATCCAGAGCCAAGACCCCGAGAACCAGAACGCTCAGGTCGCCGAAGGTCGCTTCACCTACACCGGCGACGACGGCCAGCAGTACACCATCACCTACGTGGCCGACGAGAACGGATTCCAGCCCCAGGGCGACCACCTTCCCACCCCTCCCCCCATCCCCGCCGCCATCCAGCGCGCCCTCGACTACATCGCGTCCCAACCCCCCCAGGCGCAGAAGAAGTAAATTTGATTGATTGCAATCGTCACCCATCCATGCATAAATGTATATTACGCGAAAAGAACAAAAACCTGCTAATTTTTTAAGGAAAAGCAATAAAAACCTCTGTGTTCCTAAATCAGTCGAACCCTAAAGGCAAACTGGTCTCATTCTCCTCAACCCTTCTTCTTCCCGAACAAACCGGCTGGCCTTAAGCAGCCACCTGAAGACTGGGAATCTGCCTTTCTTTCTCTAAATGTCACGGAAAGGTGCCGCCGCGCCGTATAATGTAATCTGGCAAGTTCATCTTGACATTAGCGTTGCGTCACACGCCTGCGGTCAAACTTCTTTCTTGCCAGAGCGCGCGCACTTTCTTTCTGTTCGTCTCTCCGTCTGCGCCGCCGCCGCCGGTGTTGGTCAACCTTTTCTTCTCTGTCGTCCCAAAACAACCAACCTTGACTATTCCCAGTTTTCCAAATGTCACACAATCAGATCTTTGCTTTGATCAGGCGCGAATCCTCTCGAGGTCAATATCCCAATTATACCTTTGCTTGCACAACAATGACTTTTATTCAGTTGCGCTCCCCATCAATTTTTCTCTCGGCACTGTTTGATTTTAAATTTGATTGTGTTTGCAAACATCAACGGGAACATTATTGTAAAAATAAACTTTCCTTTATTTAAATAATTGCACAAGTTATTTTTTAACCTTTGCTTCCTTTTCACTTGAAAATTGATGTTCTCATCTGTGTTGGGACAAGATGATCTTTATTTTAACTCTTTCCTCGTTATCTGTCTGCTATTTATTTAGTTGAAATTGTTCTTTCTCCATTGAAATGATTTGTGAATAATAAAAAATATTAATAAAAATCAAATACATTTTTCTAGCAAGAAGAAGGAGCTGATTAACCTTCGGATACGAGCGTCTCCCCAAATTAGCCTCCTGCGTCTTCTTCTTCTCTCAAAATTGTTTCCTATAATCTAAAAGCGTAGGTCGTTGCGGTTTTGCTACCGCATCAAATTCGAGGCGCAATTACGCGCAATTTTTTTCATTCTTTCTACCTTGTTTATTTAATTAAACATTGTATCCTGCTCAGATGCTAGATATGAAACGTCAGAGAGAGAAGAGGAGAGTCACGTCATTAGCAGGAAACGTTTGCTTTTGACTAATGGAATTTTCCTTCTAACCAGAAAGAAAGGAAGAGAAAAGGCTCAAAATATTTATTTCGTAACGGATGATCACTTTCATTTGCTTGAATATTGTGCGCTGAAAATTGTGCAATTTCAGCCAATCGGTCACTCAGAAATCTAGAAACGAATGTATTTATTTATCAAAATCTATTTCCCGAACGCAATTTTTTTCCAAATTTGATTATTTGATGTTTTATTGCAAGTCACGCTTCCGTTGCACCTTTTTGATTGTGAGAAATCGAGACTTTGATGGCTGCTGGTTTTAATTCGGCAAAAAGTGCGCTAGTCATGAAGTCGCTGCTTTTTGCTTCGAGTGACGAAAAGCAGCGCGATTAGGGGTCATTAAAATTTGAATTTTTGTAGTGTGTCTGTAATAGCGATTATCGCTGTGCCAACTCGCACCTGTCTAACGCCAGCAGCAGGCGCGCCACCTTTGACCCTTCCCGTTTACGCACTAGACGACCTTCGCACAACAAACAACATATTTTATTACAAAAAGCCTCTTTTCGTGTCGCCGCCGCATCGAGAAACTTGACGCACAAAAATGAATATATAATCGCACGCCTGTTTAAATGTCACGCGCGTTCGTTTTCCTTTTGTCCTTTCTTTTAAACTCGTCTGACTCGTTTTTTCGGGACGAAACCACCAGGAAGGAGTTTTGCAGCAAAATAAATTGCGGATCAAGCGTGCGCAACCCCCGAATCTCCCGCGTACTCGATATGGAGCCGTTCACGCGTGAAAGCTTGAAAAAAATCTCCTTCTTCTGGCTTCTTCTTAGGAAAGGCGACGAGCAGGGAATATTTAATTAAAGTGCATGATCACAGTGCAGTAACAACAACTGGCATTTACCAGTTTCATATACACACAGAGAATGTCATCCTGCCTCGGGCGAATTGATTTTCAAATTAGGACTCGCAGGAAAAGTCTAACGTTCTAAACTTAGAAGGAAAATCAAAGCGTTTCTGGGTCAAAGTCGCATTAAATAAAGAAAATGTCAAATTATGTAAAGCATTTCGAGTCTTGGCTAACGGATTGTGTAATTTACACATTCATAGAAAAAATAAAATTTATGAGAAAATATTTAATTAGAATTTTTAACTAAAAACTAACTATATAAAACATGATTTAAATAAATAAAAAAATGCAGGTGAAAATATAAGAGTGAAGAGTGAATTAAGAGTTTATTCACCATACCTAGGGAGAAACATACAAATTCCACTGGAAATTAAAGAAAAATTATTTAAAAAATTATATGATCACCTAAACCAGGGATAAATATTTCAGTGGAATTGACAAGCATATAAAAAAAAATAATAACATTGGAATGCTCAGATCTTAATTATTAAATTTTGGACCACTGTGAGATTGGTTATAAAAAAAAAGATTAATAATACTAATAGAGCAATCTGATTGTTCGGAAAGGTTCCTCCAACATCAAAATCATGCGCAATTGCTGAAAATGCATAATTTGAGACACATTTTATCTTTGAAAAATCAGGTCACCAGGAATAGTTTCAAGAGGACCAAAATACCTTGCCCTTTTTTTTTAGAAACGCTTTTAATGAATTAAAAATTCTATCGGAATTTCCCACACCAATTTACTTTCTTATTTGCTTCTTTCCGGAGTGGACATTTTTCAGATTGGCGATTTCTTCTTGATTAATATCCGAACCGCAGCTTAAAATTTTGAATTCATTTTACTGAAATTAGACGAGGAAACCACTTTAACAAATAATATTAATTGTTGTCTGTTCCTCACAAATCAAGTCAAAATGAGAAAGAAAAAAATGTGAAGAACTGGCAAAAATCCTGGCAAACAAGTGAGGTTCGCGTCGAGATGGGCCGCAAACTATTTATAAAAGTTAATTTAAGTAAAAATTCATGTCACATTCAGCGAGGAGGAAGATTGATTTCCCTCTTGAAGGCAGGCGGCCGCCCAATGACATCGAGCCGCCGGTTGCAAATAATTAAGAGGCGATTAGATGGAATTGGCGAGCATTAAGAAGTCGACGAACTTGTTGTTTCGCGGGTTCACCCATCAGGCGGTGATTTATTCGCGGCTGGGCGTGTCAGCAATAGCACGATTTTCATTCATAATATCGCGGTGGCCGCGCGGCGAACAAGCCCATTGACGACCCGCGCCACTTGAGCAGATCGAGTACCGAGTGTGCAAACTGGTTTGCATTACACGTCCCGCTGAGGTAATTAACATCGAGCACGCATATCGACTATTAATTATGTATCAATGTTTTAGTTGCTCAATTAAAAGAAACGATAGAAAGATAAAGAGAGAGAGACACACTTTTGCACTTTCCTTTGTTTCCAGCGAGGAGCTTACGATATCTTCACTGAAAATAAAACTTCTCTACCTTTTCCCATAATGTTCTATGTAATTTTTTTTTTGTCAACTGATTGATTTTCTTTTCTCATCTTAATTGGAGTGATATGAGCGTGGTTTGGTGAAATGTTTGTAAATTTTGGTCGGGTCAATTTCGAGTAAAAATTCACATAAGAAACGATGTTGAATTTCAAAAATTCAGTTCTCTAAATGACTAAAATTTTTCTTTTTATATCTCCTTGGAAAAATTCTAATGTAGAGAAAAATTACCATCAAAATTAATCAGGCCGATTTTCAGCAAAAGCCTCTCCTCAATAATGAAGATTTGAAAATTTGCCCAAGGTCTTTCCTGGTTCTGTGAGAAACCAATTCACACGTAATTCGAAAATGATTTAGGAAATTGTTCTCACAGAATCAACCTTCTGCAGATTAGAACGTGAGTTTTGTCCACATAGAGAAGATTTTAGATTGCGGTGATAGTCAAGGCTCGCAAGAGCCTGCAAGGTAATTCTGCGCTCAAAGAGCATCTTCTCCCAATTCGACTTTAATGACGGCCAATAAAAATTAATGCACGAATTATGCGCAAGTTGACTTTTGGCGTTTTCGGCACAAAAGGAGCGAGAAAAGTGCAGCATTTGGTCAGGCCGAATGGACCAAGGATGATTTTTGAGCGACAAGCGATATTGTTGTTGTGACACACACACACATGATGCATAATTAGCTTTTACTGCCCTGCAATATTGCAAAAGGAATTTCGAATGTCATGGTGGGAGTTTGCAGCAGCCGCCGAGCGCTGAAGATGTCACTCCCCCACTTCGCGCTCAAGAAATGTATTTACAAGCAATACGATCGGCCGGGCAACAAACATTTACCTTCTGCGGCGCGCCGGATTTTGGTATAAATAAGGTATCCCTCGCTGGATGAGCAGTTAGTTCTATCGGCTTGCACATCAGTCAACACCACCCGCTCCCTCAACATGAAATTGGTGCGTACATCTCGCCTAAGCCGCTCTCACATGGATTATTTGTGCTGCTTTTCCAGTGCTTTCAGAAAAGTGCCTGCCGCTTTTGGAATACACATTTTCAAACTCTTTTTTTTTGCATATTAACTAACTTTTTTTGTTCAATTCGTGAAACCCGGAATCGCCTTTTTTGTTCGCTCAAAATTTCATTATTTATCACTTTTGTTTTCCGCATTTGCTTTTTGAACCCGGTGGCATTTTGGAACTGTGTCGTGTCCCATTCATCGAATCTTTCACTTTCTCCGCGTGCACGTGGGCGTCGTTCATTACGCTAATCTGGCGGTGCGATCTCCTCGCAATTGTGAGCACACGCGATGATTCTTCTTCTATTATTATGGCTGTTCCTGTGAGACTCAATATTATGTTCGCGTCCCACTGACACCTCGCGCAAAAGTCACTTACTTTCAAACCGCAAACGCGTGCGAATTTCTCACAATCCGCTTGCGTAACGAGGGATTACTCGCGCCGAGAGATGATTGATCGCCTCTCTCACGTCAATGGCACTTTGCTAATACTTCACCCGCCGTAGTAGGAAGCGCGAAATTTCGTTGAAACAAAGTGTATAATTAATAATTGGTCGATTGCCTGATTGCAGTTAGTGTGCCTCGCTCTGGCCTTGGTGGCCGTCAGCGCCAGACCCCAACAGGACGGAACCACCCCCATCCCCATCCTGCGTTACGACAACGAGGGTGTCAACCACGACGGCTCCTACGAATGGGCGTAAGTATTTCAACGATTATTATTTTCATCACCTAACTATTGAAAATCTTTAAAAATTGTTTTCAATTGTTGTTTTCTTTAAGCAAGTTAAAAACCCGCATAGACCTTTCAATTATGCATATTTTAATTCTACAGCTAAATTTTAAAGCGATTCTAACTAGATGACTTCATAAAATATCAGTTTTCAAAAATCAATATCTTATTCACAACAATTATTTTAAATTTGCAGACAATCAAGTTACATTTCCTTTTGTGAAACAAACTCATTCAATTTACCGCTCCTTACCCTGAAAAGTCCCTCCCCTTCCTCCTCAGTTTCCCTTCCTTAATCCTAAATTCCCTTTATTATCTTCCCCTACCCGTTTTATTCCTTCCTACCCTGAAAATTGCCTCTCCTCGCTTTAGAAAACCCCTAGAATCCACTTCTCCTAAATCTTTATTCTACCCTGAAAGTTTTCTGAAAACCCGTTTTACCTTCCCCTGCACTTTACCCTGGATTTCCCTTCCCTCCGCCCTAGAAGTCACCTGAGCGCAACTTCCCCTACGCTATAACTATTGTCTTTGTGTGTTTGAAGGTACGAGACCGGCAACGAGATCGTGGCCAACGAGAAGGGCTACGTGAAGAACCTGGGCGTGCCCGAGCAGGAGACTCAGGTCGCCGAGGGTTCGTACTCGTACACCGCCCCTGATGGCCAGCGCATCACCGTCACCTACATCGCCGACGAGAACGGATTCCAGCCCCGTGGCGACCACCTCCCCACCCCTCCTCCCATCCCTCCCGCAATCCAGCGCGCCCTTGACTACCTCGCCACCCTTCCTCCCCAGCAGCAGCAGAAGTAGACGGCGCGCCATTATTGCATGTTAACAATTATTGTATTGCTCGCGCGTGTTGCCAATAAGACTTGTCCAAAAACGTGTATATATATATATGAGAGTTGAAAAGTAATGTGAAAACCATAAAAATATTTACAAATGCCAAGCAATATAATATAATTATTTAATACAAACCGAAAACATTCTGCGTCTTATTATTTCTCTCCCACGAATCTAAATTAGCCCCAAGGTCTTGTCGTTTCTCAATTCGCCGCTGGCCAAATTATTGCTTATCTCACACAAAATCAATTCAAATTAATTGTGGTGTCACGGCAGATACCGACTTTCCAGTCAGCACCTTCGGTGCCCTATGCCTCGCAATTATCTCGTCTCGTCTGCCACTCCATTGTTTCTTTTAAATGCTATTTTATTTCGCAGCGCGCGGTGATTGTTGTTGCGGCAGCGTTGCGCAACCAACGTTTTTTGCTGAAATCAGGAAAACCTAGAAGCAACAGATGCTCTTTGAGGAATTTTGAAACCGCATCGTTGGTTTACAGCGGCGGGCTTTGATTAAGTGGCCATAAATGTTGGTCGGCGGCGGCTCGTTGCCGTCTTAATTCGGTGCGATGCTCTTTCCAATTAAGAGGTTTTCTTCACAAATTGAGCGATTCCGCAGATATACGATCGGATCGTGAGAATACGCAGCCTTTCAAATGGATTCCGATCCATTATCTTTTAATCAAGTAATCCATTGATTTACAATAAACAACTTGTCTTTTGAGCAAATTTCAGCACCACTATTGTATTACTTTATAAGGACTGTTATGCTAAAATTTAGCTTCGTACTTCAAGTATTTAAAATATAATTCCAATTTTAAAGTTTTGAACTAATAGCTATAGAATACAAAAACGTATTTATTTTGAATAATAATGCAAGGTATTGATTTGGACGGGATTTAGAATATATACTCGCATTTTCAAACTTGCAAGTCAAATCGAACATATTATAAAAAGCGCGCACCATAAGCAGTTTGGTCTGAGGCCTGATGCCACACGTTTTTATAAAGTATAAATTGGAATAGACAATTTAATAGCAGAAATTAAGGTTGTTTATAATTCTTTTTTGTAAAATTTTATTACGCTTTAATTATCATGCATGCTATTTTCACTGCTTTATAATTAAACTTTTGTTTACTTTAAGGCAATTAACCAATTATTTTATCATCTTCATTTCTTCTAATATCTATCAGATATCATTTAGCTAATTCCATTTATAGACTTTGAAGAATAATTCTTAATATTATATTAATATTTGTTCAGTCTTAAAAACTTTTAAAAATTAAACCTTGTATTGTGACAAATAAAAACTTTCGGTCGAGTCAGTTTCAAAACCAAAACAAGTGATTTATATTTTTACGCAATATATAACTACAAATAAAAACTCTTTTCATGACTTCTTCACGCGGATTAGGTTGAGATTAAATTCTTTGAGGTTAAGTGCTGTACAATGGCACACGACGCGTTGAACGTTTCAGTGGTGTTGCGGTCGCGAATTTTTTGCAGAATGTTCGACTTAATGGAAATGAATTCGACGGGCAGAAGTCCCAGTTTCAAAGTGAGCTGCAAACCGTTTCACACAATTAATAAAAACGCAGACTGGCGTAACCTTCGATAAATTACTTCCGCTTCCGTTTTCGAGAGCAATTTCTGGACGTTTGAATCGTCCGCTTTCGAAGCACCCTCGTCCGAGTTATCTTCGGATTTTTGGCAGGGCTGTGTGCCCCTTCTTGCGCTGGATAAGGAGCTTCCTCCGCCTCTTTTTTCTCTGCAATTTTAATACGACCTTTGGTTTGAACCCAGTCTGTTCGGTTTTTAATAAAAGCACACTCACACACAACCACCAAAGTTAGCAAAGAAACAAAAAAACAGTGCTTAGCGATTCTACGGCTAAATCAATCGCAAAAACGGAAATCAAAGTGCCAAAGGAGGTTTAATTCAGGAACAGAATTTACAACAGGTACTTACTCGGTTTTTGATAATGAAGTTGACAGAGCTGAGTGGATGGGATGACTGCTATCCTAGGAACACACAAATTAGTTTCCGTTCTCAATCATTGAATTGCAAAATCAAAACAAAAGCGGGTCAAATCAAAGGTAGCAGGGTGGAGGAGGAAAGAAAAATCTTACAATAGACTTTCCCCACAACTGGCGCCGCGTGGTCTGTTGCTCGAAGTGCAAACACTCCTCCTTCCGTGTGATTCCGTTCTTTCGGTACTTGATAAGTTCGCGGATCCGCAGCTGAAGCTCGTCCTGCTTCACCAGATTTGAGATCATGGTTTCGAACTCTTGGTTCGTGTGAAACTGAATGAATATTTTCAGCGACTCCCTCCACTCCCTGAAAGTGCAAAGTTTAATAAAAACAATCCTATGAAAATCTGCTAAGAAAAAAGTACTTTTCGTGTTTGGAAATCTTTTTCTTCTGGAAGGGTTTCTCCTTCTTGGCAGCATTGAAGAAGTCAGTCACTAAACTAAAATCCCTGGATATTCTTTTCCGCCTCGATCTCTCTCGAAGTCGTCTTGTGTACATGTCTACTTGAGTCAGTTTCAGAGCTGAAAGTGTTTCAAAATTAATGACCAAGGCAAAGTTATAATTTGGCTTTTCCAACCTGTTTCGAGCTCGTCGTCATCAGCATTCACAGCAAGGGATGAAACCAAAGTTTCAGCGTCATTGTCAAACTCCTGCAGAAAAAGAATGTAAAAAGAGTTGAAAATTTGAACTAGGTTGAAAATGATTAAAAAAAAAATTAAATATACAATGAGTATTAATATCTTGAGTTGATTTTACTGGGGGTTAAAAATACAAACTTAAATTTGAGGTCCTAATTCAAATTATCCAAACAACAATGTTGAAAAACAACAATAATTGACTTGAATTTAAAAATTATTAATGTAAAATTTTACTGTCATTTTGCTATAGTTGTTTTAAAAAGAAATTTCATTAACAAATATGTTGAATTTTGATATTTGTAATATAATTTCAAATGAAATTTTGAATTTCTGAAATGCCAAAATCGGAAAATTTAAGACATTAATCAGTAATAAGTGTTTGGATCGACTTGATTAATTTTTACCCTTTCAAAGTCGTCTCTCTGAGGCATGTAACCCAAAAGGGTGGCTTCCTCTTTGGTGACGTCCATAGGAGGTCTACCAAAGGGATAGGTTTTGCTTTCGCAGGGCTCGGTCACATCTTTCAGGGTGGGTCTCAGGTTCAGGGCGCTCGGCCAGGTGAACTTGCCGATGTTGCCGTCCAAGAAGTGCGTCACGTATTCCTCCTCGGCCTCTGCGGATTGAAACAAAAATTGACTTGAGATTTTTCATTGAATTCGGGTCTGGACCTTCGGAGGTCTTGGATTCGATGTGCTTGCTGATGTCCTCCCAGTTGCCAAAACCAAACTGCTCTATGGCGTCCAACAGCCTCATCTCCTCCTTGGCCGACCAACCGCCCTTGCCTTGGAACACGCTCACCGTACCAGAGTCCTGAAGCTCACAAATTAAAATCTTTGAAGGTTGAGAGCTGCCGTTTTGGTTTACCATGAACTGATACGGGTGGTTGAATTTGTGGCCGCCGATTTCTGCCCCGCACGCAAAGCACTGCAAATTAACCAGTTTTATTCAAAACCTGCATAATTTTAATTTTTTTAAGTCTCACTTGTAAACAAAGATCAAAGTCCGGACAGGTAGCGCACCTGATTTTCAGTCCTTCGATATCTTGCTGGCAGTGGGTGCACGAATGTTTGGCGAAGATATCTAAGAAAAAGATTTTTTTTTTTTAAATTGCAAAGGTCAAAGAACTGCTGCTCTACTGTTTACTTTCGCACGGTATTATCAAAGTATGTGCACGGAATTGCATTCAAACATAAATGTTAAACGCACAGATGGGTGCGATAGCGATTGACCGCGAGAAAAACGACGAAAATGACCCCGATCGGGTCAAATCCCTCCAACTCACCAGTCATTTCGCTTCTTGGCGATCCCAGGCATGCGATTTGATCGGTCGAACGGCCTAATCTCGCCTAATTCCTCATCAAAATAATAAAAAAATCGGGAATCCAAACTGGCGCAGATGCCGTTACCAGCAAGACTTCTTGGTTACCAGTTCCTGATTCCCGTCAATGTTGCTATTTGCACGACACATCAGTTTCCGTTGCTGTGTTTATTTGCACCAACTTGATTTCAAAACTAGGGTTAATTTAAGATTTTACTCTTTCATAGATAAAAATTTAGACTTTGACATTCATTGATTGGTAAATCCGATTAGTTTTTGGTTTTCGAATAACCTGAAGGTTTACAAAAAGAAATAAAAATTAAAATTATATGCACGGAATGTTGGTGGAAAATATACTTTCAATACCAACCAAACAAAATGAAATTTTATAATGAACTTGTACATATAATATGAAAACTATCAAGTCATTAATTCCTCTATGAATTTGTTGGTCATTTTGATATTTAAAATTTAGCGAGGTATTGAGATATTAATATTAACATTGAATTGATATTGATGCTCATACACGCACCAAAAGCAAGATTATAATTTGGATCAATATTGTGCCTTGAAATAATAAAGACAATAATAAAAATATTATAACAACAAGTTTTCATGAAGCACAGGAAATATATATTTTGGCATAAAACATAATGTGAAGTAATTTTTAAACCGCAACCATGAATTTTTTCCTGATTTCATGTACGACTACTTTGTGAAGAATAAACAATGATTAACTACCGATAACTACAATATATAAATGCAAAAACACTACATACATGGGGGATATTGAAAGGCAATGTTTTCAACCAAGAGAGCCGCAGTCAAATTTTGTGCGTCTTACATAAGATCACAACAGTGCATATTGAATATCACAGAATACTGTACTTTTTGAATTGGCGTATGTACTTAAAATACACATATGACGTTTAAATTCAAGTTTACTGAAATAAATATGAATTGAATATAGAAGTACTTCTTGCAGATGGAGCAGAATGTTCCGAAATGTTCAACATTGCCGTCTTTGAAGGTCGCTGGAGAATGCTCCTAGCGGCAACCAAATCAGCTCCTCACCTGGGGAGACAGGGGTGCTGGAAATTTTTGCCGCACAGCACTTTGCCTAGATGATTCGAGCTTGCGCATTAGAGCTGGGGGTAAACCTCTTGAAGAAGACCAGGTCGGTGTGCTGCAGGAGTACGATCATCGGCAACACTACCTGCTCAAACACCAGCGGCATTTGAATTTGAGCTTTTGTAATAAAATATTATAAGATTGTAATTTTTTCATTATCGTGCTCATTAAAAACCTATTGTTTATAGATTGATGTCGGGGGAGTTTTCAATGATCCAGTCCATGTAATTGGTGACGTCCGTGTAGAGAGAGTAGTACTCAGGATTGCAAGTAATAATATTAGATATTTCCTCAAACTTGCCCATGCTGACAACGCCACGCAAATAATGGCGTTTTGCATCTCGGTCGTAGGAGGTCAGTCCTCCTCCGCTGTCTCCTACGCATGCACTCGTCCCTGCAAATTCCTCATTAATTTAATTTTTATTTATTAATAAGAAAACTCACGATTTTGAGGAATTCCGGCGCAAAAGTTTTCTGTCGGGCGCATGAATTTTGAAAAGAACTTCGGATCGCTCTCAAAGCACTCTTCATACGAAGCAACTTTCAGAGTCGCCTTTTTCAGTATGTCCGGCTGCTCGAGGTTGGAATTATACCCCCAGCCGACCACCTTCCCCAATTATAATTTAGTGCGATTCTTTCTGTTCTCACACCCCATGCCCAAATTTGAAGTTAGCCGATTGAGATTTTCACAGCATAACAACCATGACTTAAAAGCAACACCCCTAAATTTTTTTGAAAAAATTTCCAAAATTGCGGGTTTAATGGGACATTTTGAAAAAATTAAAAAACCTAATTTTCTCGCGTTCTATTGATCGTAGAACAAAAATCCGGGTATGGTTGAATTTGTCTTGACGATTTCTACAAGTTTGCTATAGAGTAAAAAGTTGTAGGTCAAAGTTCAAGGTCATTTTTCATGACCTCAAATTTTCAAATACAAATTTGAAAATGGGCCGCACGTTTTAAAAAAATTTTGAGATTGCCATTCGATTCCTCATGAAATTTTACATAAAATATGTCAAAACTGGAGTGACGTTTTTCTTTGTTAAATTTAAAAATAAAAAAGAATATTAAAAAACGTGGTTTTTAGTGCCTCCGCAGGCAGGGTCAACGTTATGATCGCTTGTAACGTCGTCCCTGATCATTTTAGGTAAAAAGTGATAATGACAAAAGTGAATGCCCCCGTCAAGCCAAATCGAATGGTGTATATATTGATGGCATTTGGTGACCTTCAGGTCAAAGGTCACCAAAGTCGGTGACCTGAGGTCACCTGACCTGGATGTGTGATACGTACTTAAAAAGGTCTTGTTGAGAGGATAATTTTGGTCACCAATTTTTGGTCTGTACCTCAACCACAAACCGATTAATTGTGTTTTTCATTAATTCTATGCACAATTTTCAACACAATTAATTTTAAAATTATAGTTAATCGGCTTGTGGTTGAGGTACAGACCAAAAATTGGTGACCAAAATTATCCTCTCAACAAGACCTTTTTAAGTACGTATCACACATCCAGATCAGGTGACCTCAGGTCACCGACTTGGGTGACCTTTGACCTGAAGGTCACCAAATGCCATCAATATATACACCATTCGATTTGGCTTGACGTGGGCATTAACTTTTGTCATTATCACTTTTTACCTAAAATGATCAGGGATGACGTTAAAAGCGATCATAATGTTGACCCTGCCTGCGGAGGCACTAAAAACCACGTTTTTTAATATTCTTTTCGATTCTTTTTTATTTTTAAATTTAACAAAGAAAAACGTCACTCCAGTTTTGACATATTTTATGTAAAATTTCATGAGGAATCGAATGGCAATCTCAAAATTTTTTTAAAACGTGCGGCCCATTTTCAAATTTGTATTTGAAAATTTGAGGTCATGAAAAATGACCTTGAACTTTGACCTACAACTTTTTACTCTATAGCAAACTTGTAGAAATCGTCAAGACAAATTCAACCATACCCGGATTTTTGTTCTACGATCAATAGAACGCGAGAAAATTAGGTTTTTTAATTTTTTCAAAATGTCCCATTAAACCCGCAATTTTGGAAATTTTTTCAAAAAAATTTAGGGGTGTTGCTTTTAAGTCATGGTTGTTATGCTGTGAAAATCTCAATCGGCTAACTTCAAATTTGGGCATGGGGTGTGAGAACAGAAAGAATCGCACTTTAATAAAAAAGGAGCAAAAATTTAAACTTAAGACTTACTGTCAAATAATTGTTGGAAATTTTGTTGAGCTCGTAATCATCATTCCAGAGACAAATAGGCCGCACATACTTTGTGGTGGTATTGACCTCTCTTTCCAAGATGACCAGGGCGATGTCATCTTTATAGTCCTTCTTGGTGTGGTTGAAGCTTGGGTGCACCACTACACTCAAATTCTGAGCAAATAAGATTTTTGGTAATCAATTTACCGCAATTTACATTTAAACTGAATGTCTTGTCCTAAATTAAAAATTCATAAAAGATTGAATAATCTGGAAATTAAATATAGAAAAGAACCAAAAAATTATGAGAAAGGAAGCATTTAGCAGAATTACCACAATATTTCTTGATTTTTTTTAAAAAGAAATATTTGTTGGGAATTTGACAATTTAACTGAATTTTCCTCTGCTATTTTAATTTACATGATAGAGAAAAATTTAAAATGAAATTTTGAATTAAGGCGCAAATTAATTTCAAATATTCAAAATATTTTCATGTTCTGAGAATAATATTTTTCATCAAAACAGATTTGCATGAAAGACTCTTGCAGTTGCTCATGAGAATACAAAAAAAAAATTGAAGAATTTTTACCGTGAATATCTGTTGCCAAGGCTCTGTCTCATTGTCAATTGATCGGTTGTGCATTCCAAGCGTCACCTCCACATGACTTGCTTCAATTTTCTTTTCATTTTTGTCAAAAAAACAATGCGCAGCTGAAAATATTGTTGTGTTATAAAAATTTAAAAACGTGCAAGTCAGGTGCAAGTTTAAAATTGTAGGAAAAATATAAAAATTCTGCAATTTTTACTTTAGACGAGAATAAAAATAGCGGACCTGTAACAAGGACTCTTTTGGAAATGAGGGTTGCGCCGCAAAAATCTTCATTGACGAATCCTGTTTCCGTCCGCACGGAGATACTCGCATGCCAAGGGTGCTGACCTCTGACCGCATTCTCTCTACTGATGACAAACCCACGCGCCTCTATGGCCTCTCTTTTTCCTCGGCCCACTAGTAGTCCGCAGCCAGGAAAACTTTGATTCGGACCAAAATCTGGAAACTTTGAAATTTGCAAATAATCAAACAGCAAACTAGAAAGTATACCTTTTTTTGGTTTTGGTTTCAGGATTTTTGGCATCGACAATAAAGTGTAGGGCTCTAAATGGACAGACTCTGGCTCGGTGGACGACACCCTGATGTTTTGCTCCGAATCCAAATTGATGGATGACAGTGATGACACCGTAATGTTGAGCGCCAAAATGTTTTTCTTCGGATTGATGGACGACACCGTACTGTTGAACACCAAATCGATGAACGGTGAAATGAAGAACGGCCACGTACAAATCAGAATTAAACTGCAGGCGATGAGTGCAAGTATGATGATGAAAATTATTGGTGTCTTTCTTTGCTTTGTGCTGTTGGAGAGGGTCTGCTGAGAAGGAGGTTTTTTGAGGTCTTCCGGATGATCACAAGAGTAGTCCTGGCTTTCACTCAACAGTGGCGTCAGTGACAATCCTTCGGTCTGGTGGGTGCCTTCATTTAAAAAGGCCACTTTATGTGCTTCCTTCATCCTGAAATTATTTTTTATTACTCTACATTCCGCTCAAACATTCTATGTCAATAGATTTAACAAAAAACACATCCAAATTTTTTATTCTTTTAAATATATCATAATTTTGACATGTTTTATATTGAAATGTAACTCACGTGTTTTTAGAAGCATCATTTCTTTGGCCCTCTTGAAAAGTGGCAAATCGTGGCACTGTCTCACCAACAAAACAATGTTCTTCCATTGCTACATCATCTTTGTCCATCACATTCAAAATCACGACGTTTGTTGCCAAGTACATATCCAAACTGAAATAATAATTATTGATCACTTATAATTCTTTCCACTTTAAAAACACTGTAAATTTCTTACAAAAAATTAAAATATGTTCAAAGTTTTGAAAAATAAATAAAATGCAAGGGCAGACAAAAGTTTCCATGCGTCTTAATATTAAATAAGTAAAATGTATGAATGTGAAACTGTGAAGAAACTTTTGAAGGTTTAAATTTTCTTTGGAAATAATGGAAAATTGATTAATAACAAGGAAACTCTATATCACGAGACAGTTAATTTTTTACCGTTTTAGCACCTCGACACAAAAGCCACTTACAATAATAATTTAATACTTAAATCACAGAGTTGTTTTTCAACCTCACTGCAATTTCAGATCTACATTCCGAGATATTACACCTCTCAAACGGAAGACCTTAACTTTAATTTACCTTGAAACTTGACCAATATTCAAGAATGAGTCCATTTAAAACTCATAAGAAAATCAAACTAAATTCGCCTCGCAATATTTGTTACTTTTGCGGATTTTGCCGCTGACGTCAAGGACGGGAAGGAAATAACCAAGAGTCGTAATGATTTTTTTTTCAATTTTGCAAAATCCAAAATCTCAAAAATTATCATTGAAGAAAATCAACGTTATTTCCACCCCCGATACCAGCGAGCTTGGCTTTATCCCCAAGTATGTACCAACTCATGGTGAAAGTCAATGAGTCATCGATGAATCATCTCACAAAGGTTTGAAGAAGGGGGCACCCTGATTTTCATGAAAGTTGGTGTGCAATTTACAATACTCTCGGGTACTTCAGAACGGCTATTAATTTGTGTCAAATTTAGTTTCTTCAATTTTTGCTTATAAAAACCAAGTAATTTATAATTACATTAGAAATTGGAAAGTTGAAGTTGGGCAAAATATTTACACGCAGAGGACGCTTCTGTTGCCTAAGTTTTATTAGTATTTGAAAAAAATTAGCATTCCAGGGTAAATTGGGTAAAAATTAATAGCCGTTTCAGGGTCACTCAGGGTAGTACTAGCTGCATACCAACTTTCATCAAAATCGGAGTGCCCCACTTCAAATTAAAAAAAAAAAAATCAGAAACTAAGGGTGCTCCCAGTGGCCGCATCCATGCCTTCAGGCGCGGATTCAGCCGCTGACGCAATTTTTCAAACTGTTCAAAATTTCAAAAAACTTTTAAGAGGCGACTCACTCAGAAAATTAACCAGAAATGGTCACAATTCGCTCAGCCCTTTGACCGGCCGCTGCTGACTCACAGAGCTCCCCTGACGGGCCTCTCCTCTCCAAGGTGCGGCTTGGAGGTATGGAATTAAAGTCCAATCTCCTCGTCGTACAGATTCAGGATTGGAGCTAAAATATGGAAGGGAGATACCATACCTTTTAGTTCGAGAGGATTTTTGCATGCAAATAAACGCTTTTTGTAGGGTGGAGAGCTACGATATTTGAGCCGGAATAAATATTTTCGGTGGGTTCAAGTGCAGAAATGAGCAAACATTAATTTCGTTTAATTAAATTTTGAGTATTGTGTGTTTGTGCGAGTTGCTTTTTTTGCTTTAGAAGATATGTCAAAGGTTAAAAATTTGTCCAATTTTTTTTTTTTTTTTTTTTTTTTTGCATAGTTGGGCGCTCTGCACTCTTCAGCGGAGCACAAATGGCACTCAAAAATGCGCTCAGCAGAGCGGTCGAAACTTGCAAATTCAGCCAAAAATAACGAAATTTTATTCAAAAATTTGATGGTTAATTCAAAAAGGCAAATTTATAAGACAAAATTTTGCCCATAGAGGATTTAATATTGACTGCAACTGTTTTTTTTAAATTAATTTCTGCAGTTTTTTTTTAAGTGCCCGGAAAATTCTAGAAAAGCTAGGAAAAAAATTGAAATCAGAGCGCAGAGCGCGAGTGCAAATATTTTCAAAACTCCAAGCACGAGTGCGAGCGCAAAATTCTTGGTTTGTTGTTTGATGGATATTATATGTGACTTACGGGCAGTTCAAATGAGCCTGGTTGGTTTGATTAAATGTTTCTCTCCATCCCTGTACTTTTTACAGTTCAAAGGTTTTCAAATGAATGACATCATCAGATTGTCGGGAATTCTGATCTAAAAGTCGAACCTGGGCAAAAGTCTAACTGCGCCACAAGATAATTCAATTCAAATTTTGCACGGCACGATACATTAGCTTAGACTTTCGGATTGTGACCTTAAAATGATTATTTATTAAGTACGTGTATGCATAACATAAAATAACAACTTCGACCGCCGATCAATGGTGCTCGGGAGTCAAAGACTCTGCAAAAAAATTAATACATGAAATAATGTACACCGAAATGCACCGAAACACATAAAAATAGTTGCAGCAAGCTAAAAGACTTCATATCTGTCGATTTAATTAGATATCTTAATTCACATTATCAATATTTTTAATTTTTCTATATATTCCCCCCATTAAATTACAAACGATTTGATCCTTTTTAAAATAAACCTCTCTCTTTCCAACAGCAATTAACCTTAAAAATAAAAATAAACCGGACTCGTCTCAACTTTGTGCGACCGAAAAGTCTCGTCTATAGAATTGATGTTAAATGATGGATAATTTTTTATAAAATAAGTTATGTTACAATGGATAAAAAAATAATAATATATAAAATTTTAAATAATATAAATATACCAAAAGCAGTTATAAAGAGGGCACAGGCCGATAAGATGTTTTGACCAAAAAAATGAATAAAAACAAAATCATACAAGTAATGGATAAAATAGTAACACACACCTACGTATTCACCCTCAGCTTGTTTTCTTGTCGTGAATCTGAGAGACGGCTTGTCGACAGACAGCAAGTCTTAGACAATGAGTAAGACCGACGCCGAAGCGCGTCACGTGGTCATGTCCTGCGACCACATTGACTTGACCGCGCCGACCAGGTGCCGACGCCGCCGAACGACCCGACCGCGACTTTGACGTTCGATTTTAATAATGTTTGTTTTTTTTAGTGTTTTTCGTGGCGTTCGGAAAAATGGGCGTGTACGTCGACTTCCTTGGTTGCGTTAGTTGCCCGTTTCGCCGCGCCGATTTCAGCGCCACTTCGCAGCTCTTTTGGTTCCCGAAAATCGCGGCCATTGCAGGCTTTTCGCTAAAACTCGCCGATTTCTCATTCCACTGACCTTCCAGTCAAGTCAAAATGGGTTTCCAAAACATTTGGTACTCGCACCCTCGCAAATACGGCCAGGGATCGAGATCTTGGTGAGTATTCGGCGGCCAAAGTCGACGCCAAAGTGGCGCGGCTCAACACGCTCGCCGTACACGTGGTGCATTTCCAGCCACCTTGTCCGACAGTTTTACTCTCCAGTCGCTTTAATTCGAGGCTCTCGGTCACTAAAACCTGTCCAGACAAACAGAAAATTGTGAAATTAAAGGCTCTAAGCCATAATTGGGGAGGTCAGTGACCTGGGCCATTAGAAAACACGACTTTTTGTTGACATCTTGCTTGGTTGACAGCACTTGGGCTGTTTCTCCTCGTCAATTAAAACCTTGCTTATGTCAATTGAGACCTGTCTTAATCTTAATCGTCATTTCGCTTCTTGCAGCCGAGCCTGTGCGAACAGACACGGTCTTATCAGGAAGTACGGCCTCAACCTTTGCCGACAGTGCTTCAGAGAATATGCCGGCGACATTGGCTTCAAGAAGGTATAAACAAATTATTTTAATCATAAAAGTAAAATGCTGTTTCCATCTAATTAGATTTTTTAAACAGCCAAACTTTTTTATTCAGAAAATTCATAATCTAAAATTTAAATCTAAAGGAAATAATAATAAATAATTGTCTTCCCTGAAACAAAACTAATAAATTTTCTTGCTATTGTTGCAGCTGAACTAATTGAGACTCCAAACAAAAATACTGGCGGTAAATTTAATGTACCATGTTTTCTGTATCATTTAATAAAATGTCGGTAAAATAATTTGAAAAGACCAACCAACAAGCTTTCAATTAAAATTACATGGACTGAAATTGTTTGTAGAAAAGATTGAAAAAAAATACAGATGATATTGTGAGGTAAACACAGACAAATTTATTGAAAAAAAAAATTTATTAAAGTAACTTGCAACAATGTAAATAATTAATTTGGATAAAAAAGGTGGTCAGAATGGACACGCCCCCATTCTGTTCCCCACCCAGAGCACCTGCTTTATATTTTTGAAACCAATTTGAACCAGAATCGCTGACAATTTGTCTTTTGTGCAACTTTGAGATAATTTTGCAAAATGGTCGCCGAACTGATTCTGAACAAGTAAAAACTCAGGAGCAATATATTGCGAGAAAAGAAAGAAATGGACAATCCGGAGCACGGGGAGTTTCCCGTGGGCACGACGCATTTGTCAACACAAGTGGCAGGCCACTCGTGCGACAACAAGAATTACAGTTTTGGTTTGTAATTTTTTGCAATTTTGACCACCTGAATTATCCTGATCGAAAATCATTCAGGTCTGCTGGTGAAAAGCGGGCGGTACGTGCTGAAGCCGGTGGAAAAGGAGCAGCACGGCAAGATGGAAATCGACTTTTACCGAAAAGTGAGCTCGTCGAACGAGCCCGTCCTCCTCGAGTTGAAGTCGCTTGTGCCCGAGTTCTACGGCACCGAAATCCTCACGTGGAACGACTCCAGTAATGCCTCATATTCGAAATAATTTCAATTTGAGACTAATTTCTTCAAAAGCAGACTAATACGGTTTCTGAATTGCAACAAGTTTTCAGGGGTCAACTACATTGTGCTGAGCAATGTGACCCACGGCATGGTGCAGCCCTGCGTCATGGACATCAAGATCGGCAGGCAGACGTGGGACCCTGAGGCCAGCGAGTCCAAAAAGCAGAAAGAATTGGTTTGCCGATCATAATTGCATTGAGCTGAAAGTTGACATTAAAATTTTAGGAAAAGTATTCGCTGTTGAAGCAGAGCTACGGATTCTGCATTCCGGGCTTCCAAGTTTACGATGCAACCTCAGGCGAGTTTAAAAAGTTTGGGAAAGACTACGGGAAGAGCCTGGCACCTGACGGAGTTATTACAGGTGCCTATTTTGTTTTAAAGTCTAATAATGCTTACATTTGTACCACAAAAAGGTCAATTGAGTGATTTTTGCTCACCCAAAATAAATTTGATTTTTATAAAATTATTCGAACTTCAAATCCTGAATTGAAATAAGTGCTGATTTTTATTTTTATAATGCTTATTTTTAAATATATTGAAAAGGCATAAATTTCCTTACAATTTTAAATTAATTGCTATCAGATAGATAAAATATGGTAACTAGTTCAAAAGTTATTGGGTTTCAATGGATATATTAAGTTTTCTTTGCTATTTATATAAAGTATTTTTCATGAAATTATAAAAATTTATTAAGTCCTTGTGTGGCCACAAAACTCGTATTCCACCTGAAACTTGATCTAATTTTTTTTAATGAATTTCAGCTTTCAAGACGTTTTTTAATTTGTCTCACGAGCGAGGGAAAGAAACGCTTTTGCACATCCTGGAAAGACTGAAGAAAATCGTCAAGTGGTTCGAGGAGCAGCGACACTTCCACTTCTACTCGAGTTCGATCCTGATCGCGTACGACGCCAAGGCCCTTTCGACCTTTCCGCTCGCCACCGTCAACATGATAGACTTTGCCCACGTGTTCCCCGCCCAGGGTCAGCCGGACGCCAACTACGTGGCCGGCGCACAGACCCTGGTGCAGGTGTTGCAGGACGTCGCCGACTCCTGCTGATTCCCACGAAATTCATTCCTGTATTCTTTACAAATGGAAAAACAAAGTATTTTTAAAGCGCAAGCCAAATATATATATTGAGAAAAGGGAAAAAGATGTTTTCGTAAATGCTATAGGGCACCGAAGTGCTTCATTATTTTATTTACACATTATCAACAACGGCTGGGGAAACTATCTAAGCCTTCTTGGGGAAGCTGAGTTTGTAGATGAGGTTGCCGACCATTCCGATGCCGATCAGGGTGAGGAAAACGGTGGTGCGGTACAGCAGCTGGTCCGTGAAGCCACCCTTGACGTGGATCAGAGTGCCGTCGGGAATCTGTTTGAAATAAATTTTCGTTAGAAAATATTCGATTCTTAAAAGTCAAACAAAAGCCAACCTGGAAGTGCTCTTGGAGGGCCTTAAACTTGGGGTCGACGGGCGAGTACTGGATCTTCTCGCTCCTCACGCTGGAAGAGGAAATCCGTCTGACGGACTGCACCAAACGAGCGGAATTCTGCAACAAGAGTCATAAAATTATTTTAAATTTAGAAGAGATTAAAAAAAAAATCAAAGGGCTTCCTTTGCTAATTCATTTCATGCAGCAAAAGTTGAACAGAATTCTGCTCTTTAAGATAATTTATTACATCTTTGACCCGTTAAAGATTAAAGTACGGAACGTAATGAGAATAAACACAGCACTCGATAAGTACTTAAATTGAATTTAATCTAAATCTAATTCTCGTGACAGGACTCGAACAACGTCCGTCGTGAAAACGGAAAGGCGGCCGAAAAAACGACTCGAGCGCGGCTTTGGAGGTTCCAAGGTGACCTTGACCTCTTCGCCTTCGACCCCGAGCCGGAAACTTTACCTTCAGCAAACTCATTTTGCAAGAAAGAGCTGAATTCGCAGCCGAAATTGGGTTTTCGCAAGGGCTGTCTTCGATCGGGGACGAATCAGGACAAGAGCAAAGAGGTTCGGTCCGTTCCTCGACTTTCTCGTTCCGAATGCCGAACGCGTTTCCGGAACACGATCGAGTTACCTTTTCGGCCGCCAGGTGGCTCAACAATCAAAGCTAGGGCAGATTTCGAGCTACAAAATTTTCGCACTAAAAGATCCTACCCCGCGGCAATTTGTGAGTACAACGAGAGGAATAAAAAAAAGTGAAATTTTCCTACTCAACGTCATTTAAAAATTCATGCCCAGTTTAAAACTTACACAACATCTCCTTAAAAATGAACTGCTTATTTGACTTGAACTTTTTTTTGTCAATTTTATTTTTATATATCTGTGATAAATGATATATATGGTGTGAGTGACACAGCACAATTATGCATAAAAGTTGTTCGCACAGGGGTATTGATCAAGCTATTTTTTCTTTTCAAAGTGCGTGTGTTTACCTGACGCACTCTTGATATGCTTGAGAGCATAATGGGGTTGTAATTTGAGCTGGCAGCGCAAAACTTTTGTTGTCTGATAAACCTCGATCGCAATGGAGTTCTTTTTTCTCTTTATATATAGAAACCTTGCAATTACTTTTTTACTTAGAAGGAATGATGAAATTTTATTTAAAAAAAAGCAATTTATTGTAATAAAATCAAAAGAAATTCAACTTGACGACTATAATTTTTTTATTCGTGAAAAGAGAATTTTGTTAATAAAAGTTTCCACCTGAGATTGTGTGTGCACTAGTTTTTGCCACGGGCCTATTTTATTTCGCACGCTTTGCTGAATGGTCGGTCGGTGGCTTTTTGCTCTGCTCCCCCCAGCATTCCAGATTCAAAGCTTGACAAAAAGCAGCAGAGGAAAGGAGGAAAAAAATGATCATTTGCCAAAAGTGGGACTGCGAAATAAAGGTGTGCAGGTAAATGAGGCGCGACCGAGACGCGACCAACATAAAATAATAATAATAATACTATCAGAGGTGCAGTTTGACGTTTGACGCGCAGGGCACCTTTTACCGAGAGCAATGATGACCATTACATTTAATTCAAGTCTCGAAATTGCAGAAAAGTTTCTATGCTTTAAAACCGCGGCAAATATTATCATACTTTTGAAGAGATTTTAAAATATAAAAGATTTAATTTTCAATACAATCTTGCATATGAAGAAGGACAAAAATAAATACAAATAATATCTAAATTAAATTGAAATCCGACTTCAAATTTTCAAATATGCTGACGCTGACTACGTTTTAAAATGTAAACCTTTTTCCTTTTTGACTCAACCTGCACAAAATAAATACTTAACAAATGGAATAGCATTAATATCGGTGTACCTGCACTGACTGAGTGGGAAAAGTTTAGTTATAATTATAACCTAATCTTTGTTTTTAAACTTCCCTAAAAGGAAAATTTTCATGTGGTCTACACCCGATTTTATTATCCTGCTTACTGTGATGTTAATTTCGTGAATTTTTCATTAACTTCATTTCAGACCAATACAATATATTATGGAGGAATACGGAATTATTGAAAAGAAAATTCCAAAAACCAGCAGCATTGTTTATCCTCTTGAGATAAATTAATAGCAAAGTTGTATCTTGTATTACGTCCTATTAAAAAAATTAAAAAACTTAACTAGAAATGACAGTAAATGTAGCCATAAAAATTCACTTCTATTTTCATTGTTTCTCTTTTATTTTTCACTTCTACATTTTTTATTGTTTCTGTTTATTTGTCCCGTCGCATTTCTTATTGTTAAAATCCAATTTTGAAACTTTTTCAAAGCTAGAAATTGTGTGCACCCAACGATCTCCAGGCCTGTAGCCGCGCGAACTGGAGCAGTGAACTCTCTACACTAGAGCTGCCACCGCTCTAAGCTTAGAGCAGCCACCGCTCTAAGAAAAAGCCCATAACGTTACACTAGAGCGGACACCGCTCTAAGAAATTTCCCATAACGTTACACTAGAGCGGTGACAGCTCTAAGCTTTGTTGGGTGTGGATAGCAAACTAGTCTGTCAATTATCAGTTTCTCAAATTCTTACTGTCTTAATAGGCACAGATATTAAAGATATACCACTTCTTGTTGTACAGAAATAAGCCAAATATTTTTTAAATTTAAAAACTTTTACTTATTCTTCATTATCCGCTTCATTCAAACAGCAATTAAGAATTTTCAAGGAAATTTCATCTGTTTTAATATGATCAATAAAATTTTGCTAATTTATTATATTACGTTCAATTTTAAAATTACTAGTCGAATACATTGAAATTTTTAGATGTTTCCATTTTTTATAAAATTGAACTTAACAACTCCTGAGAAGTTGAATCAATTTTTTATTAAAACTGGTAATTCTTAATTGAAATATTTGAATCTATTCGTTTTTCAAATGTGGATTACCTGAACTGCCCCGTAACGCAATACTGAGGTTAAAACTTTACTTGATTTTTATTTAAAGTTTCGATATTTCTTTCAACCATGAAATGAAAAAATCTAACCTTGCCAATAAATTGATAAAAAAAAAATAATAATTTTAGGAAAATTAAATTTCCGTAAAAAGTAATTGTCGTGAGTGAATGTGTTTTTGAAATGAAGACGGTGATTATGAGGTCTAGTCGTAATGGGAGAGAGAGAGTGCAATTTGGTGCGGCCGAGCGTCTCGCCGCTAATTAGACAGAAGCTAGGTGCACGGGTGGCGCGCGCGCGGCCTCTTTGATTACGCGACGACTGCGAGCGAAAAGATGCTGAAGGAAGCAGGGATTTCCATGCGAGAAGAGCAGAAAAAGCAGAAAATAGAGGCGAGCAGCAATCAAGGGCGCATCACAAGGCAGAGCGAGCGAGCGAGCCAGAAAATAAATAATGTTTCCTAATTTGAATAAAAGAAATGCTTCTTTTGTGTTGCAGGAGCAGCAGCAGAGAAAGAGCGGAAAAAAAGAGGAGAGCAGTTTTGCTAATTTATACTCGCGCCGGCTCGTTGGACGAACGGGGGGTGGATGTGTGGGTGGTTGCTTTAAAAAGTATTGATGGCAGCGCAAGCGAGGAGAAGAGAGAGATAGCTCGAGAGTTGCCACTAATGAATTCCCAGCAGCCGGGCTCGCTTGCTTGCGAGAAAAAGTTAAGACATGAGCAGCCCCTGTGTATATGAGTTGCCTGCCCGCCCGCCCTGCCTGCCCACAACCCCCTCTCGTTCCACCCCTTCCCCCTATTACGCTCACACACACTCTTTTTACTTTTCTTTCCCTCTTCGCAGCATCCTTTAAAACTCATTACTATTGTATTGTTATTCCTCCTCCACTCCCTTCATTATTCATCCGCGCCGAAATTTTTCCACATCTAACCCCTAAAACTCGAACCCTCTCGTTATACACATTACATCCTCCACGTGTGCCGGCGTCAAATAATAATCCCCGATTGAAATTTTTATGCAAATCTATCGCGGGCGTCAAATCGAATTTATGCAGATTCGCGGCCTCGAATTTTTCTGCCGAAACTTATTCTTCCTCGCCGCGTATAATTAAATCTGGCTGCGGACTCGTGAGTAAACAACGCTCGAGAGTCGATCAACATCTATATTGTTGGAGCGGAGATTCTCACCAACCCCCATCCACCCCCCTGTACAACCTGCAGCCCCCGTTCTAAAGAGATTTTAATTCTGTTCCAAAATAAATGTTAAAAGCTACAGCACATCTTCTCAACTTTTTATTTAGATAATTAGCTCTTGCAATACAAAAGCTGTTTAATTTAATAATTTTGGTAATGGTTTATTTAGAATCATTATTAATTTTTGCTTATTTAACAATAGAAATTGTGAATTGATAGTGACAATTGAACTTTTAATAATTGAAATTGCTTCTGATTTGAATTTTCGTCAATATAATTTATTAAAATTATAATTTTGTAATAATTGATCAAATCATTAAAATAATTATTAATTATATTATTTGGATTTATAAATATTTTACAAGTTTAAATTCATCTCGTTTTATAAATAATTATATTTAAATTGTATTTAATATTTTGTTTGGAAAAAATTTTGTCAAAAGAATAAAAAAGTTTATATCACCACAATTTTTTTTTAAATTTTACATTTTTTATTTATCTCAGAGGCGGTCGTTGGTCATGAAGCAGGTTTATGTGTTCAGCCCTTTTTTTAATTACCCTTTTTTCAGTTTTGATGACAAAAGCTCCTTGATAAACGATAAAGTTTCGTGTAGTTTACATTTTACAAAAGATTTAACAAAACTTGATGTTTTCCTTTTTATTGACGCGTGTGTTATTTATTGCGCAATTCATGATTGGCCGATTACGTGTGCACCCCCCTAGCTCGGAATAGCAAAGCCACCCCAAGGGGATGATGCTCCAAGCGCAGGTATCAATATTGGCAGATTATATGCACTCGTCGCTTTCACGGGCTGCCGCGAAAAGGTCCTCTTTCATGCACATATCGATGAGCGCAGAGTGATCCAATTTTCAGCCTCCCCCGACCCACCCCCAATCGTATCAAATAACACTTATTGCCCCCGCTAATTCTCTTTTATCGCCCCGCAAAAAAACCAGAGCGACCGCAGCCAGTTTGTTGGACAACAAGATAATAATGCCACAACAAATCATGAGTCAAATCTAGTTTAAAGTGGTTTTGTTGGCAAGACAAAAAGTTCCAACAAATTAATTAATGACCTCAAAATTTGAAAGAAGAAAATAAGAGGGAGTTTTATGACGAATCTCAAAAAATTAAAGTGGAGGGAGTACTTCTTTGGCCAATCAGAAAGTTGCTTCACTTTGAATACAACTTTCTCAAAATAAATTATAAACTTAAATTTGGAATTCATATTATTGCTTTGTTTCATTTTATCAAATTTAATGATATCTGTAAATTCGCTGTAGGTCCGCTTAATGGGTCCAAATACCTGGCTGGTCAGCGTGCAAAGGGTCTAAATGCCAAAGTGGCTAAATGCCAAAGGGGCTAAATACTATTTTGACCAATATCAAACTTTGCGTGAAAACTGATTCCAATTGACTTCTTTCGACCCATGAAATATGGGTACTAACTAAATTTTATAGAAAAATTATCTAAATTAACGCATCAATTTATGCAAATTAAATGGCTCCATAGCTTATTATACCAATGTACAGGGCTGCTATGTAAATTAGAGGAATAAAATTAAAATACTGTTGTGATTGTTTTGGAAATATGGAATTTGGATCGTTTTAGCAAAATAATGGCAATATCAAGGTCAGATATTTTTAATTCTACCTAGAATTCTACCTAGAACAAGGGTTTGCATCGAGGGCTGTAGTTTTGTAACCGCTGGACCAAAATTGAAAAACTTGGAAAGAAAATGACCGCAAAAAGGTAAATTGTCTTTCGAAAAGATGAAATAGGTTTTCAAAAATATTTTTATACATGTATTTCATATTTTTTCCAAAAAATGCTTCTTTTCAAGGCCAACCATTTATTAAAAAAAATTTATCTCTAAAATATATAAAAGCACGGTCCATTGCGGTGATTTTCATATAACTATTTACTAATTTTTTTTTAATAGGTACTGAATAGCAATAAAAAACGCAAACCTCTATGTTTATTATGTACCAGGTAAAATAAACCAAATTTGACCTTGGAATATCATTTCCAGAAATATTTTAACCCTTTTTGGTGATTTTTATTGCGATTCCATGATTAAAACTATTTTTTTAATATAATTTTCAACTTTCGCTTTTTTGACCTTGCAATAAAAAATCAAAACGCAAGAGTGTATCATAATATAAGCACTATTTTCAACTTTAATTAATAGATTCTAGTACAATAATTTCATTCCAACAAGTATATATGAGGTTTAATCTACCAGATAATTTATAACTTGAAATATCAGTATTTCTTCTTTTACCCCCTCTACTGTAAAATTACGAAATATGTATTTGGACCCTTTGCACGCTGACCTGCCAAACATTTAGGTCCTTTGCACGCTGACCAGCCAGGTATTTGGACCCATTAAGCGGACCTACAGCGAATTAATAAATTAACAGAGTTAATTACCATTATAAATTGATAAGTCACTTTGAACTGCAGAGGAGGGGGAATTTTATCAGTCAACCAATTTGAAATAACTCTTAACTCATTACCTAAATATAATCTACACAACTTATTCTTCTCATTATGCTTGCTTTTTAGGTTCTTTTGGCTTGCGTAACCTAAATAAGGGCACCTTTTCACTTGAATAAAACTTGGCTTGTTTCGAGTTTACTTGCTTGTTCTCTACTAACTTTTTATTAACCCAAAACAAAAGGTAAACGCGCTGCGCTGCGCCTTGGCGGGAGATCCAATTTGATGCCAATAGAAAAGTGCTATGCTTACTCTTTTTCAGACATAGCAAACCTCCAGAGGCAGATCAAAATTACAATTTTGATAATTAATGTTGGATTACAGCATAGCACTTCAAATTAAATTATACAATTATTGTATCAGTGGCAAATAATAGCAAAATGGTTAGCAATTTTAAACTCCCTTAAGTCTGATTTAATTTTTTTCTCACTCTCGATGAGCGCCTGAGAGGTGGCTGAAATTTCACCTGGTCCAAGTGCCTCTCACGCTCAATTCCCTCTCCATCTTTCACCCTCACACGACGAGGGCCCAGTAGTCGGACTGCTTGCCCAGGGACCCACTTATCTCTTCCTGTGAATTGTCGGAACGCCACTTCTTGACCCTCAACTCCTCCCCGAGGCTTAGTTGTGACTGCGGCGATTGCCCTCTTCTCCCTTTCAATTTGTCGTCTTATGTGTTGTTGATCTGGGTGCACTTTGTCGATGACCGTCTGAGGCCTTCGGCCAAGGTTGAATTCTGCTGCTGCGATGCCAGTAGTGGGATTAGGACAAGAATTTTGGCCCAACAAAAAGCTGTCCAACTTCTTTTCATCACCACTAACTTTCTTGAGGAAGGCTTTCACTGTCTGGACACCTTTTTCTGCCACACCATTTGAAGCAGGGCTGTAAGGTGGAGAATATACAATTTCTATAGAATTATCACTACAGAAACTTTCAAATTCTGCTGACCTAAATGCGGGCCCATTGTCAGCAACAATCACATCACACAATCCCTGGAATCGGAAATTCTTTCTACAGAAGAGTATCACGTCGTCTGCTGACATTCCTCTTGTTCGCTCACAATCCATCCATCCAGATAGCCCATCAACTCCAATAATGAATGTTTTCCCCCTGGAAAGTTCAAAAAAATCTAAATGCACTCTGCTCCATGGACGGTGTGGTACGGACCATGGAATAATAGGTGCTTTGTTTGGCGCCTTGTTGAACAGTCTGCATGGTTCACAGGCTGCACACAAATTTGAAATCTCTAGGTCCATTTCTGGCCACCAGAAATATTGACGGGCCAGTGATTTTGTTCGGACCTCTCCGAAATGGTTCGAGTGAAGCAAGCACAAAATTTTCTCTCGCAGGCTTTGCGGCACCACTGCTTTCTCTGCAAAGTAAACCATTCCATTATTTACCCGCAGGTTTTGCCAACGATTTTTATAATGAGCTAGTGACTCAGGAAGGCTTGCTGCATTTCTACCTTGCAACAGAAGAGGCTTGATTGCAGAAAGTTCTTCGTCGACTTTTGCTTCTTCTTTAAATCTGTCCACTGTCAACGTTGGGTTCAGCAAGTCCATGAAACAAATTTTGGCTTTGAACCAGAGAGAGCCCGCTTGAATAGCCCGCGATTGTCCGCCGAGGTTTCTCGGTGAGTGGCGGATCGTGGCCATCTACCGGTCAACATTGGAACGATCAGAAAGTAAACAAACCGCCTCGTGTTTTTGCTGTCGCCGGAAAGAAGAAAGAAAGCAAATAGACTCACTTTTTATTCGCCGCCGGCCAACTCGTCCCAGTCCCGACCCGAATAAGTCATCAGGTTTGAGTTTAATTGCCCGCTCAAGTCATTTAAACCCATTTTGTCGTTTCTCGTCATCTCCGCCGTCCATGTTTGGGTAATCCCCGGAGAAAATGACCATATAAGGCCCGATTTGAGAACTCGCGATCTGATTGGCCGGAACCTTCTGGAAGCGAGTAGAAGCAGACCGATGCGTTCTCTCATTGGCGCTGGGCAGTGGAGCGAGAGAGTTCGTGCTGAGACGCTGAAGGAGCAAGAGCTGCGCGCCGCGAGCTCTTGGCTGCCGACGGGTTTCGGACGAATTTCGGCCTAGATTTGCGAGTTCTCTGGTAGTGTGAATTGTTCCCTGAGTTGGTCTGGTGTTGGTTAGGCGTTTATTTGGTGAGTTTATTGGATTTTTAGTTAATTTTGCCCGGTTTGAGAAGTTACGTCGGCCGCACGTGGTGCTGAACCCCGCCGATTTTTGAGTTGTAAGTCCCGAAATTGTTTGGTTTTGCGTGGAAATTGTCGGAATAATTAGCGGTTGAATTGTTTTCGCCGCTAATTTGCATATTTTTGTCAGATTAGTGGAAGTTGCGAGTTTTGTGTAAGCCGGTGAACCGAGCGCGCCCTGTCGGCGGCGGCGGTAACCGAGGCCCGATTCCTCCCATCGAGTTAGTTTGTTTCCCTTCCTCCTTTTGCCGGTAGAGGCGCTGTTGGCCGTTTCAAGTGTAAAGTACCGTGAAGTTAGCAAGTAGAATAAATAGAGGTTCAGTTTAAATTGTAATTCTTTGTGGTTTTCGTTCGTGAGTTGGAGTTTCCCGTGGGATTTAGTTTAAGATTAGGTAGAGTAGAGAGAGAGAAATAGTTTAAGAGAAGAAAAGCAAGTAGTTGATCAGAGAAGAAGGAAATTGTTGAGAAGAGTGACTGGGAGAATACGATTGAACAAAGGAGGAGACCTGCGTTCAATCAAGTCATTCTCTTAGTTCTGGGTCGTTGGTGGAACAGGCCGTTGCCACGATTCAGAACTTGGGGGCCTGGCCTTGTCGTGCCTCACGTCGTCTGGCGTGACTCCACGGTGTAATCCGGTGTGTTAATTTTTCTTTTTAGTGGAAAGTTGGTTGCGCTTAGAAATTTATTTTTGGTTTTAGTGGAAAGTCTTTGAAGGTAACCCTTTGTGAGTGTCCTTGGGGGCCTTGTTAGTGTGGAAAATAGTACCCGCGAGGTGTAGGAAAATTTTGGTGTTTTAGTTTTGAGTGAATTTTTTTCTTGTAGTATTAGAAAATTGGAAATTGCATTTTGTAAAAAAATTGTGTGAATTTGCTGTAAATAAAGGAGTAATACAATGGATGTATTTTCTCCAAACCATTTCCCTGTCCCACAATCGACTCCATGTTACCCATATGTCGATAGTTTGCGCTTGAGCGAACCACCCACCCCGTTGCAGAAATGGATCCCTGTGGAACTATCTCATCAATTGATTGCCGAGGAACGTCGCCGACTGGTGGCTCAACAACTACAATGGGTGCAAAACGGTGCCTACTTGGACGGTGGACCTCCTGGTGCACAATCAGCCCAAATTCCTCCTGGTGCTCAAATGGTGCACAATGGTGCTCAAATGGTGAACGGTGGTGCTCCCGCCATTCCATTCTTTGTCAACTCAGCTCGTGCTCATAGTGTCCCAATGGTTCCAAATGGTGCTCAGCTTGGCGTAGCAAGTGGTGCTCACCTCCCTTTTCACCTTAGTGGTGCCCACCCAGTTCCTTTCCCAGCCAATTCTTATGGTGCTCATGCAGCCCACGGCAATCTGTATGCTTATGGCGGGCAGAATGCTTGTGGTGCTCATGTTACACCGGCCTCCATGGTGAACAACAATCTTCGTCAAACTTTTGGTGCTCAACCGGCGCATGCTTTGGTGCCGCAAATGCCTGGTGCTCAACCGGCGCATGCTTTGGTGCCGCAAATGCCTGGTGCTCAACAGGGGAATATTGCTTTTGGTGCCAGCGGTGCTCAGCCCTCTCCACAGGCCGCTGTAGGTTTCCAACCGGTGAATACTGCACACATTCCAGCATCGTCCTCTTGGCTGCACAAAAAGCCACCACATTTCAAAGGCATTGGTGACGTGGTTGACCCAGTAGATTTTTTAGCTCAGTTTGAGACGTATGCTTTGCATCTTCCTGTCTCCATTGACGTTGCTTGCAGGTCCATGATGAAGGTACTTATGGAGGCTCATGCAGCTCTATGGTTTAAGTCTTTTGAGGTGTACACGCCACCAGGTTATTCCTATGCGACTTTTGCTTCGGCTTTCCGCACGCAATTCTTCCCTCAGAGCCTGCAGGATGGTTCGCATCCTTTTGATAGTGACGCTTCTTCATACGTTAGCCCTGTTGGTGCTCATTCTGGTGCTCCGATGGTGCCCAAGTCTGTTAGCCCTGTTGGTGCTCATAGTGCTCCTGTTGACAATGTTGCCAATTGTGGTATTCCTTTCAGCCCAGGTTCGAACAATGGTGCTCATGGTGCTCACATTGATTTTCATGCACAAAGAGCGCAGAACACTATTGGTGTCCATAACCGAGCAGTAACGTCTTCAGAGAGTATTTCTAGTGGTGATCTTCTGACATCAACACAACAAGAACTGGCGAGTCCTGATGGTTCTCCGAAAGGTGTTGCCGAGCTTTCTCAGCACCCACAGGATGGGGGGCCGTTAGCAGCAGTTAGTAGAGGTGAGCAGTCAGACGGCAAAGTTTCCAGCTCTTTGGCAGTGAATGAGGATCTTCAGCCTCCACTTCATGACCAACATGTTTCTGATGCTAATCAATTGCTCTCTTTATCCCCTCAACACACCGCCAATGTTCCCAGGTGTGAAACGGAACTGTTTCCAAAACCCCAAGCCTATTTCAGGAAGGAAGAGCCCTCCCTGTACCTACAATTGTCCTATTATCAGCTGAACCAGCTGTTTAAAAAATTGAACTCCAATCCCCCTAATGATGACTGTGAGCCAGAAAAGGACCCCGAACCTGGAGATGACCCTGTACTGGTGCAGATGGGAAACATAGATGTGGATCCTGGATCTGACCTTGAAGTCAACCTAGGACTGAGTGACCTGTTTTATGAGCCGGAGACGTGCACAATCATCAACGAGGACCACCAGCTGGCGCTAGAGGATTGTGTGAAGGACGAGATGCTGACCATTGGAACAGAAGCCTCATTACAGCACGACTACACAGAAGTGAGACCTTTTGTGAAGCTAGCAGACGCTGATGCTGGTTCTGGTTTTGGCCTGCTGCTACAAGTGACAACAACTGTGCGCGATAAAGGACCTGCACTGCCAAAGACATTCTTCAACACCAGGTGCAACATCTTGGATGAGCCACATGGACCTGACATCACTCTGAAGGAAGACAAGGCTGATGACAACCAAACTGCTCCATGTGTCCTGAGACAATCGGACACCTACGTGGGATCCAGGGCGGTCAGACTGCAAAAGTCGTCTGACAGGCGTTCAAGCAGGGCTACCCCTTACATGATTCCTCCCTCAGAACCACCAGATAAGCTGCCCTTGCGCACATTCTGCGTGGCTGACCCGAGATTGGCTGAGTGTCGTCCTTACATTCATCCAAGTCATCATCCACCCGATTCCCTCGCCCTAAGCTCCTTTAGTAAGTTTTTGCCAAATGTTTCTTCGAGACATATGACAAAAACTTGGGGGGCATGAACCAGAGAGAGCCCGCTTGAATAGCCCGCGATTGTCCGCCGAGCTTTCTCGGTGAGTGGCGGATCGTGGCCATCTACCGGTCAACATTGGAACGATCAGAAAGTAAACAAACCGCCTCGTGTTTTTGCTGTCGCCGGAAAGAAGAAAGAAAGCAAATAGACTCACTTTTTATTCGCCGCCGGCCAACTCGTCCCAGTCCCGACCCGAATAAGTCATCAGGTTTGAGTTTAATTGCCCGCTCAAGTCATTTAAACCCATTTTGTCGTTTCTCGTCATCTCCGCCGTCCATGTTTGGGTAATCCCCGGAGAAAATGACCATATAAGGCCCGATTTGAGAACTCGCGATCTGATTGGCCGGAACCTTCTGGAAGCGAGTAGAAGCAGACCGATGCGTTCTCTCATTGGCGCTGGGCAGTGGAGCGAGAGAGTTCGTGCTGAGACGCTGAAGGAGCAAGAGCTGCGCGCCGCGAGCTCTTGGCTGCCGACGGGTTTCGGACGAATTTCGGCCTAGATTTGCGAGTTCTCTGGTAGTGTGAATTGTTCCCTGAGTTGGTCTGGTGTTGGTTAGGCGTTTATTTGGTGAGTTTATTGGATTTTTAGTTCATTTTGCCCGGTTTGAGAAGTTACGTCGGCCGCACGTGGTGCTGAACCCCGCCGATTTTTGAGTTGTAAGTCCCGAAATTGTTTGGTTTTGCGTGGAAATTGTCGGAATAATTAGCGGTTGAATTGTTTTCGCCGCTAATTTGCATATTTTTGTCAGATTAGTGGAAGTTGCGAGTTTTGTGTAAGCCGGTGAACCGAGCGCGCCCTGTCGGCGGCGGCGGTAACCGAGGCCCGATTCCTCCCATCGAGTTAGTTTGTTTCCCTTCCTCCTTTTGCCGGTAGAGGCGCTGTTGGCCGTTTCAAGTGTAAAGTACCGTGAAGTTAGCAAGTAGAATAAATAGAGGTTCAGTTTAAATTGTAATTCTTTGTGGTTTTCGTTCGTGAGTTGGAGTTTCCCGTGGGATTTAGTTTAAGATTAGGTAGAGTAGAGAGAGAGAAATAGTTTAAGAGAAGAAAAGCAAGTAGTTGATCAGAGAAGAAGGAAATTGTTGAGAAGAGTGACTGGGAGAATACGATTGAACAAAGGAGGAGACCTGCGTTCAATCAAGTCATTCTCTTAGTTCTGGGTCGTTGGTGGAACAGGCCGTTGCCACGATTCAGCTTCTTCACAGAAAAGTTCATCTTGATCCTCCTCAACAACTTCCAAAGGCAGCCTAGAAAGGACATCCGCGTTACAGTGTGATTTGCCTGCCTTATGCACAATTTCAAAGTCGAAATCCTGAAGGAATAAGTAATACCTCTTGAGTTTTGCTGGTAAGTGGTCAGATAATGGTTTTCCAGGGCTGAAAATACCAAGAAGAGGCCTATGGTCAGTGATTATCGTGAACTGACGTCCCCACAAAAACTTTTTCAGTTTCTTGACAGCCCAGACAATGGATAGAGCCTCCACATCAATCTGCGAATAATTTAACTCAGATTTCTTCAATGATCTTGAAATGAACATGATAGGTACCTCTTTTCCCTGTTCAACTTGGCTGAGCACTGCACCGATTCCTTTGTTACTCCCGTCACATGCTAGTATCACATCCTTGCTTGGGTCAAAGTATGCTAGGGCTGCCTGCTTGCTCACAATTCTTTTTGCCTCCTCCATGGCAGTTTGGCATTCTGTGGACCAATAGAAACGCGCCCCTTTCTTCAGCAACCTATACAGGGGTTGGAACATTTCAGCCTTTTTCGGGAAAAACCTATCGTAATAGTTAATATACCCGAGATAGGCTCGTAACTCATCGAGGTTCTTCGGGGCAGGCATGTCTTGAATGGCCTTGATCTTCTCATTAGTAGGTTTCACTCCTTCTTGAGTAAACAAATAGCCCAGGTACTCCAGTTCTGTAACATTAAATTCACATTTGCTAAGTTTCACTTTCAAACCACTTTCTAGAAATATTTGTAACACTTCTCGGGTTGCTTCTGTTAATCTTTTTTTTGTAGCTGCACAGATAAACAGGTCATCGAAGTAAACAAATACTTCAGGAATTTTAGCAACTTTTGCATGAATCTTTTTTTGGAAAATTGGAGGGGCAACTGAGATACCTGGTGGCATTCTTCGAAATTTGAATCGTCCTCTCTGGGTAGTTATGGTCAGAATTTCGGACGACTCCTCGTCCACCTCAAACTGGAGGTATGCCTCGGCTAAATCAATTTTGGTGAAATGGAATCCTTTCTTCACTTTACTCAGCAGTTGGTCTAATGTTGGTAACGGGTAATCTGAGCGCTTGATCTGCGGATTTACGGTTGACGAGTAGTCGGCACAAATTCGCACCTTGTCACCTTTCTCTACCACTACTATCGGCGTGGCCCAATCAGATGACAAAGTTTGCTCGATTACTCCTGCTTCTTCCAGCTCAATCAGAGCCTTTTCTGTTTTCTCAACAAGTGCAAATGGCACTTGGCGAGCGTTTCGTTGTATTGGTTTTGCTCCATCCTTCAATTCAATTCGCACTGGGGGGCCCTTGAACCTTCCAAGCCCAGGCGAAAATACTTCACTCAAATCTTGAAATTCTTCAGGAATGTTTTCCATCTTGAAGACACTTGCACTATGCTTTTTTTTCCTCTTTTTCTTTTTCTTCTTTTTCACTTTCTCCGCCTTCACATTTTCTCTTGCAATCACTCTTGGAATTTTCATTTCTACACCCAGTTCTTCAAACCAGTTCCGTCCAATTAAAGCTGGCCCAGGTTGCTCCATCACTAGCAGTTCAAGCTGAACTGGCTCTTCTCTTCCTTGTAGCCAAATAGGCACAATTAATGCACCAGCTGCTCTAATTTCAGGGCCATCACCCCAAGGCTTCATTTTTACATTCGATGGCTGCAACTGAGCTCCTTTTGGAAAATACTCACTGAACGTTTGCCCTCCAATCAGTGAATATGAGGCTCCAGTGTCAAGTTCCATTGGCAAAGTTTGCCCATTTAATTGGATGTCTAGAAAAATTCTCTTACTGGACAATTTCTCGCATTTAGTCTCCATTTTCAAAAGGTAGTTTGTGACTGCTTCTTCTTGTCTTCGAGCACCTCCTTTGGCTCCCTCGTCTTCTTCACTAGAACTTTCTTCACTTGAGTTTTCTTCATTATCCAAGTGATGAGTCGTTTTGCTTTTCTGCTTTAGTTTCTTGGTGTAGCAGACATCTTCTTGGTGCCCAATTCGCCCACAAAATTGGCACAACTTTTTCTTCAACTTGCAGTCATCCCTCATATGACTTGTTTTTCCACAGCAGAAACACTGGTTGTTTTTCTGCATTTCTTCATAATGGCCCAACAGCCCACCTTTTGTTCTTTTCCAATTTGGCTGGCGGTCCTTGTCAGGTGCTTTTTTCTGCACAACTTGGTGCAGCGATCCCTTTTGTCCACCAGACAACTCCTTTGCCGCAGCCTCTGCTCGCTCATGTGCGTAAATCCTCGTTGACACGTACTCGACTGTCAACTTGTCATCTGGTTCAAGGAGAAGGCTCTCCTTTAACTTCAAATCACGTAAACCAGATATCATCCTGGCCACCATTGCTTCGTCTCTCTCCTTGAATTGAGCTTTGTCTGCCAATCTTGACAACTCCGTAATAAACTCTATGGCTGGCTCTCCAGGTTGCTGTACTCTGGCATGGAATCTATCCCTCTGGACAGACTTAGTTGGTTCTGCTTGCTGAAAGTATTTACCCATTACCTTCCAGAGCTCAGCCAAAGTCACTTCTTTTACCTTTTTAGGTTTCAGCAAATTTATAATCAGGGTATAAGTTTTGCTGTCCATATTCGTCAGAAATGCGTTTCTCTGCTTTGTTACGTCTTCAATCCCTTGGTCTTCAAAATACAAGTCCCATCGGTCGGTGTATTCGTCAAAGGTTAGTCCACCCTTTGGATCATAAGGTTCAATCCTTGGTCTTTGAGGCGTCATTTTTGAATGTTGACTTACTGTTTCATTGAGCTCTTCACCCTCGACTTCTTCTTCTACAATGTTCTCCAAGCTGTTTCCTGGCGAACTATCTTCTGCTACGTCCAAAAAGAGCGGTGATGGACACGTTTCGGACAGATCAATAAACGATGTTTCTTCTGGGCTGTCGGCCATAATCTAAATATGAGCACATGGTGATAAGCACACTGTTCAGCTTTGTTCGAATATCCTCGTCGCCACTTGAAATAACTCTTAACTCATTACCTAAATATAATCTACACAACTTATTCTTCTCATTATGCTTGCTTTTTAGGTTCTTTTGGCTTGCGTAACCTAAATAAGGGCACCTTTTCACTTGAATAAAACTTGGCTTGTTTCGAGTTTACTTGCTTGTTCTCTACTAACTTTTTATTAACCCAAAACAAAAGGTAAACGCGCTGCGCTGCGCCTTGGCGGGAGATCCAATTTGATGCCAATAGAAAAGTGCTATGCTTACTCTTTTTCAGACATTATAAATTGATAAGTCACTTTGAACTGCAGAGGAGGGGGAATTTTATCAGTCAACCAATTTTTCCATATGAAATATCTTATAAACAACAATAAATTAATTCTATCTCCTAAGATATGACATTTCTTACTTATTATTAATATTATTCTTCTCAGACAATGCAAAAAATTTTTAATTGGAAAAAAAGAGAAGAAAATCAATAGGTGCAAAATATTATTAATGACTAAAGGCAATCTTCATAAAAATATATCCAATTGTTTTTGCTTTTGAAAGTGCTTTATCAAAAAAATTAACTATATATGAAATTTCTAACGCTATATTTTAACAATTTTAATCATGCTTTCCAATATCGTTGAGAATTTTGCATTTCAAAATCCACGTATTTATCACAACAAACATTGATAAAATCTTAGCAATTAAATACAAGTCATACTTCAGCAATGAGAAAATAATTGCAAAGATGGACGAGTTTTGCAAAATGCAGAAGATCAATTATAATTTTTAAATGTGGAACGCAATCTCGCAGAGAGATTCGAGACATCCATTTCCGTTGCTTGCGAATATCGATCAATTAGCATGCGAGAGCGACGAGAGCGAGCGAGGGCAGTAATTGCGCCGCGAAATTAATAATTAGCGCCGAGAGCGGGCGAAGGAAAGAAAGAAAGAGAGAGGAGAGTTTTGCATCTGGCGCCGGAGAGGAAAACACAAAATCTTATTTCGCCTCCGCGCGCGAGTGTGTGCGAGAGAGAGAGAGAAAAAGAGAGGAAGATGGAAAGAGCTGCGCCGCGCGTGCTTATATCTTTGCTGCTTTTTTGTAATTACACACGCGAATAATAATGGGGTGCTGCGAAGGGGGAGAAAGGGGGTGGGCGGGTGGGTGCAGGTCGCGAAGAAGATTTAGTCGCGTACGTCGTACGCCGCCGCCGCCATACTTTCTTATTCTTTCCACTTTCTTTTTGCCGGGCGAGGGTTGCTGCCGCCGGGGGAGGGGGTGGATTTTATGCGCAGGCTTTATTAATATACATGCAGAGTGTATGAAAGCAAGCCCCTGCGTTAATGAGTAATACCGAGGGGAAATAGAAAAAGGGGTTGAAAAAGAAGCAAAGAAGACGCGAGAAGAAGGAGCAAAGAAAGTGGGGGAGGAATTATGCCCCGCGCGCTCCATCGATCTGCATACAAAAAGTGCGGCGGACCCACCCCCCATCCACCCACCCGCTCGCTCACTCGCGCGCGCCTCGATTTTATATTCTCAATTAATTCTTTCTCCCGCCGACGCAGCACAAATTCCCCTGCTTAAGGTGCACACACGCGTCTCACATGCAACTTCGAACCTCTGCTTCTCAGATCTCAGATTTTTCTCGAACATGGACAATTCCCTGCTTCGGTTCGAGGGTGGAAAATGAGTGACTAAAAGAAATTTTTTATTCATTCTAATTACTCTTTGAACTACGCGGACATCATTCGAATAAAAAAATTCAAAAACTTTGAAATCTAATAATTTTTTTTCAATTTAATTTTCAAGCTAATCAACGATGAAGTAAATTAATTTAATTGATAATACCGTTTCCGAATCAATAACCAAAACTAATGAGTAATGACTAAGTAATATTTTCATTATTCTTGCTTCCTTTGGAGCAATTTCGAATTACTATGCGTCATTTGAAAGCCACTGAAATGGACTTCAATTTGGTCATTATAAATCAAAGCCACAGGTTAAGTTTCAAGGTCACTAAAATTTTTATGAATTGTTAAAAACAGTAGCAAACAAAGAAGATTTAAAATATTTTGATCGTTCCCACGGAAAAATTGCCCAATTATTTTAATTTACATCAAAAGTTTGGCTCGACACACACAAAATCGATTTTTCGCACTTCCCAACCCCTGACAATCATCAGGGTTTTGCTGAATTTGAAATCAAGGTTAATTTTCATGAATAGAAAATTTTTTAAATATAGATAATGTGAACCGTGAAAATATTTAATTTCTTGCCGACTTTGATGATATATCAAGTTTTATTTGATGAAAATGATACATTTGGTCACATCTTAAGAATAAACTTGGTGAGATAAAAGAGGTATAAATCGTGGGTATTTCTTTTTGAATTTAAAAGCAATTAAAAAGGGATTCATTAAACATGAATTTTTCTACTTAGAGTATAGGGTTTTTAATAAAATAGAACATAAATGAAGAATAACTGAAATCCACCTCTGTGATATTATTTCCAATTTTTCCAGATGCACGCTAAACAAAGCGAAATGATTTTTGTGTGTGATTAAATGCAGAGATTAAATTGACAAATTTAGTTCGCGACGAGGAAAAATAATTGCTCGAGTCAGCTCTCGTTGATCCGCGATTGCCCTTCTGAACTTTGACCCAGCCGTCATTTATGGGGAAAACTATAATTGAAGCACAAAAAACCCATCAAGAATTATTAGGCAGCTTTTTCACTTGCTTTTGAAAAACAAAAATGTGTATTTTTAACATGTTTTAACTTTCTTCCTTTGTTTACTCACAGAACTTACGTAAAATTTATAACTCGTAGTTTATACAAAATTTTGAAGCAAAAAATTGAAATAAATATCATGCATGTCAGAATGAAGTGTAGCGATTTGAGGAAAATTTGCTGATAAATATTGTTTGTTGAATGACGTATGAGTTGATAATTTGATAAATTAATAAAAATTCCAAATCTTCTTTTCCTGCTTGTCAGATCTTTTTAATTGATGGTGGCAAAGGGCAATGATAAAAGCTGAGGATAAAAGGCTTTGGAGAACAGACTCAGTGGAAAAACTGACCATGGCTCGTTTCTTTTTACTGCACATCGTTTTGCTCGTCGCTGCAGCCCTGGCCAACGAATCTTCAAACAAGGTACTCTAAAAATCGATTCATTTTTTAATTTCATACTATTGCGTGGCAATTTAAACAAATCTTTAACGCGTTGAAAATAAAAGTGTAAACAGTATCACTATTTAAAATAACATTTAAATTTTTGAACAAGATATTATAGCAAGTTACAAACCCAAAAGTCTTTGAGAAAATTGTACGTGCCGCAAAAATATTTTCATATTTCCTAATTAGGCAAAATTATAGTTAAAAAATGATTTAATTTTTATTTTATTTAAGGGACCGTTCATGAATGATTCACCGCGAATTGGCCTAAATTTTTGGTTCACAATGCCAATCTGTAATCAAAGTATGTTGTTGGGGTTATTAAGAGGGTCCTCTGACTTTTCTGTTGATCATTTCTGTGTAGGTCAAAGGTCAAGGTCACTAAACATAAAATTTAATTTTAAAGTCGATTATTCTCAAAAAAGTATATTTTTGATATTTTTTTTTTTATTGTGTAAATGCAAAAAATGTAGCTCATAAAATTCTGCTTCTGGTGGGTGATTTTCAGAATGACATTATTTTTAGTTTTTCTGCAATTCGTGGCCGAAGTTAAAAAAACGTGTTTTTTTATACTTGACATAGGCGAACTTTGGTGTTTTATCAATATTAAGAAATATTTTTGTCAATTCATGATCTATGAGGTTTCTCCTAGTATTTTATTCACAGATTTTGAAAATATTCCCAAATATATTTAAGTTCGCCATTTTCGCCAATGTCAGGAATCGAAAAAAAAAAAACAAGTTTTTCGATCTTCGGCCAAGAATCGCAGAAAAACTAAAAATAATGCCATTCTGAACATCACCCACCAGAAGCAGAATTTCATGACCTACATTTTATGCATTTACACAAAAAATATAAAAAAAACGCTTTTTTTGAAAAAAATCGGCTTTAAAATTAAATTTTAATTTTAGTGACCTTGACCTTTGACCTACACAAAAATGGTCAACAGAACAGTTGTTCAGAATAAAAAGTTACGCTGGGTTTCGAAGAGAGCAGATCAAAATTCCCACTAGAAGCAAAGATATTTGCAATTTTTATGTTCATTGTGAACCAAAAATTTAGGCCAATTCGCGGTCAATCATTCATGAACGGTCCCTTAAATTAATGTAGACATTTCTATTTTTAGCCACCAGAATCAGAGTTTCAACAGGAAATGTTGAAGAATTTGAACAAAACGAATGAAAAGCTGGACCGTTTAATGAGAATCGTCTACAATCAGGTTCAATTCATATTATTTTGTGATTTAAAAAAATAGATTAACCGTCAATATTATTTTTTGGCTTTTGCGCAGGTTGTGGAGACGCGGAGGGCGGCGGAAGAGCAAAACGAGGCGCAGATAAAATTGGAGAAAAATGTGAACATAACAAACGAAAAGCTGGAACGTTTAAGGAGAATCGTCTATGATCAGGTTCAAATTTCAATTTGCGTTTTTTTTTTATTCAAAATTATAAAATCATAATTACTTGCTTCTTATTTTTTGGCTTTTCCAGCCAATGGAGATGCGGAAGCTGGCGGAGGAGCAAAACGAGGCGCAGATCAAATTGTCCAACGCGACCAATGACCAACTGACCAAAGCTGTGGACCGACGCCACAATCAAGTACAAAACTTTTAATTTAACAAGAAAATAGTTGTTAGGAAGATAAAAATATTGAATATACCAGAAAATACATCCAATCTGCTGCACATTGAAAATATTTTAATTTTGAAAACAGACACTGGAAGGCGTTAAGGAGGCGGTGAAAATTTTGAAGGAAACAACTTTCGAGAGGTTCATCAAACTGGAAAAACAAATTGATCAGGTGAGGCAGAAAATATTTTCAGTCGACCACATTCTGCGTAGCAACTAAAATTATAAATATAGCCACAATTCAAATTTAAAAGATTATACGTCAGTAGAAACTGTAATAAAAATTCATATCTGTAACTTTTAAAAATTACCATAAGTTGATGAGTTTGCATGATTTTGTCATCACAATTTTCAAAAATCTCTAAGTAAGCCCTTAGGTAAAACCATACATATTGAAATTTTTATTGGAAAGAGGAGTTTAAATTGATTAATGAAATAGAAGAACGAGATTTTTAAGATCTTGCAGCGCTTATATTTGAAAAAAAAAATCCAAGAGTTCATCAAATTTGCCAATAAACACCAACAAAATGACTATTAAATTATATGATGTTTATTATAATTTTAATGATTAAAATTAGCAATTTGTTTAATTTCCAGACTTTGGAAAGTTTGGCATATGTGAAGCAGGCAGAAAAACGCCAGAATCAAGAGCTTGCCGCTTTGACAAACCTCACTGAAAGTCACATTCAGGTTCTAATTAAATATTTTGACAGAAAACTTCTCTACTAAAAAAGCGACATGATCCTATTTTCAGATCTTTCAAACCAGATTCCTTCCGCACTGCAACCTCGCTCGTACGTTTTTCAAATTAGACAATGTTAGCGTCCCAAAAAACAAATAGAATTAAGTATTTTCAGGTTCGTCAAAACTGACGTTGCTTTCCAGTGGCAAGATGTACTTTTTTTCTTACCCAACTCAGGTAAGTCTCAACTGACACCTTATTTGGTTTTTTCTAATTTTTCTACAACAGACAAACTGGACTTTTGCGAATGAGACTTGCGCCAAAAAGGGCCTCCACTTGGCCACAATCAGAGACCAAAATGAGGCACTGACAGTTGCGGCAGAAGGAAAAAGAATTTATTCTAGTGAGGCAAAACAATATGAAAAACCGTGAATAATTATAAGGCCATTCAAATTTCAGATGGTTGGTGGGTTTCGGCGAAAAACCAAGGAAGTAGAAACGACTTCCGTTGGAGCGACGGAACCAAGTTGGAGTTGGACAGTCCGTTGTGGATGGACAATGCGGACAAGAAGACGGACTGTGTTCTCATCTATCATGGATGGAATAAGGGAAAATTGAATGGCTTTGAATGCACCAATATTCGACCTTTCGTTTGCGAACTGCCAAGCGAATGTTACTGATTGTGAGACCAAATTTGAATTTATGTATTATCGCGATGCAACAAGCTTTTTTTAACGCAATGATGTACACAATTAAAAGTATACTTTTTCCAATAATTTAGCTTAAATGTCTTGGTGTGAACATGGGTTTCCTGTTCGATTGTACAATAAATTTGGTAAATGTTGCAGTTTTTTTTTACTCACCCCCTCGTTCTTCTTAGCTTAAAAAAACTGCTAAAATGGCAATTAAAATTTTCCCAATTTGGGCAAAATTTTATCGGCCAAATTGTCTTCTTTGTGTCATCTGCTGAATGAAATCAAGAATTACTTTTAATGGAAATCCTCCTGGAATATTTACTGCAATTTTCCAGAAGTTATATATAAAAAATAAAATTGATATATAGTAAAAAACAATAATAATTTTTATGCACAATAAAACACATCCACATTGAAATTGATAAATTTTGATAGCAAGGAGGACAAATAATTGCGCACATGAACCACGATGCCTTTTGACTTTTGACATACAAGTCGTCGCATTTATGGGGGGGAAAACCAAAAAAGGCACATGGAGACAAAAAGTTACGTAAGAATTATTAGGAAGCTTTTTCACTCGCTTCTTAAAAAGTAAAACTTAAAATTATGGACATTGTTCAGCTGAATTATACCTTTTCTTGAAATAATAATATAAAGCGGAATAAAGAGCAGCGACTGTAGAAAAAATTTTGTTTTTGAGTGAATTTCAATGCGTTGCGATAGTTATAATGAAAAATAAATAGCTCTAAATCTTGTTTTCATAAATGCTGGCCAGATTATTTTAATTTGTGGTTGCAAAGGGCAGTGATAAAAGCCAGGGTTAAAAGTCTTTGGCGAATTGAGAGCATCGCACAAGTGGAAAGATTGACTGAGCATGGCACGTTTCTTTTTGCTGGGCGTTTTACTCGCCGCCGCCGCCCTGGCCAACGAATCTTCAAACATGGTACTCAAAAAATTCAAATTACTTAATTTTAATATTCACGCGGGGATTGGGAATTACGTAATTTAATTCCCATGGAAAACAAATGTTTATTGTTAAAAAAATTAACTATTTGAACTAAAATAACGCAAAAACAAAGACGCTTAAAATATAATGATCTAAAAAAGTTTCAAAACCAAAGGCATTCAGTGAAATCGGGCAACTACCATTAATGCTAAAATAGCAAATTATTTGCAAAATGATTTTTTTTTAAATTATTATTCTTTAAAAGTATCGGAAATAACAAATTCTATTATTTCTAGAAACAAGATTCAGAGTTTCAACAGGAAATGTTGAAGAATTTGAACAAAACGAATGAAAATCTGGACCGTTTTATGAGAATCGTCTACGAACAGGTTCAAATTTCAATTCCTTGCGTTTGAGATTAACAAAAATTAATCTTCAATCTTATTTTCTGGCTTTTGCAGGTTGTGGTGACGCGGAAGGCGGCGGAGGAGCAAAACGAGGCGCTGATCAAATTTTCCGTCGCGACCAACGATCGACTGGACCATATGGCAAAAACGGTACGAGATAATTTTTAACATGGAATAATGTTGATATTTGTAAATATTGCAAATCTGCCCCAAAATGAAAATGAATTTTAAAAATTTAATTGTGAAACCAGATGATGGACGCGGAGAAAAATTTGAACAAAACAACTAACGACAGGTTCAATCAGTTGCAAAAACAAAACGAGCAGGTGAGCAAGAAAAATATTTATCACAAAGATCATTGCGCAACTCAAAAGTGGTAACGTCAAAATAAGCAGGAATATAGTCAAATTCGTCTGATTTTATTCATCACATGTATTAAAAAATCTTAGACCATAGAAATTTTCAATTTTCATAGGAATAATAATTAAAATAGATTATTTTTCATTCACTTATTTTTTAAATAATGCTCTTTTGTTGGATAAAAGTTGTCAATATAAACCATCAAGAGGGTTATTTAATAAATAATGCGAAATAATGATTTTTGTTTCCCAGACTTTGGATTATTTGAAACAGGTGGAAAAACGCCAGAATCAAAAGTTTGACACTTTGGCAAACCTCACTGAGCATCACATTCAGGTTCAAATAAAATTAAAAAACTTCTTTATTGAATAAGCATCATTTTCTGATTTCAGTTCTTTCAAATCAGATTCCCGCCGCACTGCAACCTCGCTCGTACGTTTGTAAAATTAGAAAATGTTTGCGTCCAAGTAGATTTCATAAATTTTTAGGTTCGACAAACTTGACGTTGCTGTCCAACGGCAAGATGTACTTTTTTTCTAACCCAGCTGAGGTAATTCTCAACTGGCAGCTTGTTTGGATTTTATAATTCTTCTCCATCAGGCAAACTGGACTTCAGCAAATGAGACATGCACCAAAATGGGCCTCCATTTGACCACAATCAGAGACCAAAATGAGGAAAAGGTAGTCGCGGCAGAAGGATACAGACTTCATGCTGGTGAGGCAAAACAATATTAAAAACTGCGCGCCTTTTCAATGATAAAAAATAAATCTATTCTTAGCTTATGAATTGTGGGTTTCGGCGACAAACCAAGGAAGTGGAAGTGGAAAGGAGTTTCATTGGAGCGACGGAACCAAGTTGGAGTTGGACAGTCCGTTGTGGAATGTCAATGCCGACAAGACATGGGATTGTGTTCTCATCTATCATGGATGGAACATGGGAAAATTGGCTACCTTGCCGTGTGACTTTACTCGGCCTTTCATTTGCGAACTACCAAGCGAATGTTACTGAAAATCAATTTAAATTGCTTGATGAAGATTTACTTTCCATTAAAATCCTCTAAGATATTTCTTGCAATTTTCTAGACGACTTAAAAAAATGTAAATTTGATATTTTTGTAAAATGATAAATTTTAATTAATAAAAAGAGGTGGAAAAAGAGTTGAGAACGTCCGCTCTTTTTGAACCATGATGCCTTTTGACTGTCGACTTAAAAGTTAAAAGTCGTCACATTTATGGGGGAAAACCAATTAAGGCACACGCAGCTTATGTAGAATTATTGGGACACTTTTTCATTTGCTTTCCAAAAACATAAATTTGTATTTTTAATATTTTTTCTACTTCATTCCTTTGCTTATTCACAGAACTCACGCAAAATTTACAACTAATAATATATTAAAAAATTTTGAAGCAACAAATTGAAATAAATACCATGCATGCAGAATGAAGTGAAGCGACTTGAGGAAAATTGGTCAATGCCGTATAAGTTGATAATTCGATAAATAAATATTCATTCTAAATCTTGTTTTCTCTTATGGTCAGATTTTTTATGATGGGCGGTGGCAAAGGGCAGTGATAAAAGCCAGGGTTATAAGGCTTTGGCGAATTGAGAGCAACACAGTGGAAAGACTGGCCATGGCACGTTTCTTTTTGCTGATCGTTTTGCTCGTCGCCGCCGCCCTGGCCAACGAACCTGCAAACCAGGTACTTAATAAATTCATTTAACTTAATTTTATTATTCACGCGGCAATTGGAATTTAAGAAATTCTTTTAATATTGAAAATGAAAGTTTATGTTGAAAAAGTTTTTAGCTCTTCTAGTGCAAAAACAAAGACGCTTAAAAATATTGATCTAAGTGTCAGAAAATCTCAAACTGAAACATGCTGATAACGTGCACAAACAATATTTGCTGATAAGGTAAATAAATTTGCAAAAATTCAGAAGAATTAAGCAGGAATAAAAAAATTCAACTGATTTGCCATATTTTAAAATAAAATATACCATGGGATAATTTTATTCATCACATCTCTATTAAAAAATCATAACCCAAAATTTTAACACTAGAAATTTCAATTTACATGAGAAATTAAAATTAATTAATTAAAAAACAACGCGATTTTTACATTTATTATTTTTTTAAAGGCTTTTACACTGCATCAAAGTTGCCAATATAAACCATCAAGAGGGTTATCAAATTAATAATGATTAAAATCAGCAATTTTTCCTTTATCAGACTTTGCCAAACCTCACTGAAAGTCACGCTCAGGTTCAAATGAAATAATTTCATATAAAAAACAACATGTTACTGTTTCAGATCATTCAAAACAGATTACCAGAGCACTGCAACCTCGCTCGTACGTTTTTGTTCAAAATAGAAAATGATAGCGACCCAATAATAATAAAGATTTCATAAATTTTCAGGTTCGTCAAAGTCAAATTTGACCACTCTGTCGAACGGCAAGAGGTACAGTTTTTACCCAACAGAGGTAATTTTTAGCTAAGGCAGCTTGTTTGGATTTTTCTAATTTTTCTGAAACAGAAAAACTGGACTTCTGCAAATGAGACTTGCGCCAAAATGGGCCTCCATTTGGCAACAATCAGAGATCTAAATGAGGCACAGATTGTCGCTGCAGAGGGAAACAGAATAAAAAAAGGTGAAGCAAAACAACATGAAAAAACCTTTCGTTAATCAAAAGCTCTGCCTTTAGATGATGCTTGGTGGGTTTCGGCGAAAAACCAAGGAAGTGGAAGTGAAAAGGAGTTTCATTGGAGCGACGGAACCAAGTTGGAGTTGGACAGTCCGTTGTGGATGGACAATGCGTACAAGAAGAAGGACTGTGTCCTCATCTATCATGGGTGGAACAAGGGAAAATTGACAAGCAACATATGCAACTATGGCACGCCTTTCATTTGCGAACTGCCAAGAGAATGTTACTGAGATCCAATTTGAATTGCAACAAGCTGTTTTAACGCAATAAAGTAAAAATTTAGAACCAGAATTTTTCCTTTAGAAACTTTTGATAAAACGCCTTTTGCGTGAAATTAAGTTCTGAGAGAAGCAGTCGTATCTGCGCGCCGAGCAAACCAACATCTTTTCTCGCAGCTCGCTGCGGGTGGAATTTGTTTTGCTAGGAAAAGTGCTGCTGATGAGGCTTGAATAGCCGAAGCAGCTGTCCAGCACAAAACATGTACGGACAGATTGGGGTGGTTTTAATTTTGGGAAATTTTCGCCTTCCTTTAATGTTTTTTACAATCACAATACAGGAATTTTCTATCTTGTTTACACTGGGTTCGCCTCAGTATCTCGTGTCTCGGAACGTAATTCCACGTAAAAGGCGTTTAGTCAAAAGTTACTAATTTGATTATTCCCGTTTCGAGTGGTTTCTTTGGGTTTTAAATTCTCAAAAAAATAATTTAGCGTGATCGTTTTGTTGTGATCATGGTTTTCTTGTTTGATTGTGAAATAAATTTGGTAGATGAACATTTAATGCAGCATTTTGATTCTGCCCCTCTTTTAAATTGTCTTGCAAAGAATGTCTTAAAATGCACTAGAAATGAGAACGGCTTTGGTTTTTATTGGCAAGCAAAGAAATAATGACTATTTTCCACTTCAAATTGACTCGATTCAGGAAAATTTAATTTTACAACAGTGGTTTAATTTAATTTTTTCCTTTAGAGATATCAACAGCCAAGTTAATTGTAAAATGATGATTTCGTTCTCTTTTTGTTGTAATATTGTGACATGTAAAATATAAGTTCACGAAATTCAACATAAAAAATTTAAGAAGAACGATTCCGAGGTTTGACATTTGATCATTCAATTGAATACATTTTATTTGCTCTTATTTGCCAGAGTCGGCAGAGTCAAAGACTAACTAATTTACTTACAATTATATCACAAAAATCACTTCTTCCACTTTAGTAATTGCATTTCAGCGTATCGCTATTATTTGCATTAACAAAATCTATCTGACCGCGTAGAAAGAATGGCGAGCGCAGAAACACGACACACAAATAAATCAGTTTTTCACAATTTCCAGCCCCTTAATATTATAAGGGTTTGGCCACTCTTATTCCTAAACAAGTTTTTTTTAACGAAGAGGAAAATTTATATATTGAGAAAAAAGGAATACAATAAATTTTGAAATTTTAAATTTTCATTTTAGATTGGAGAAACGTTTGTAAGAAATCAAGTTTTACTTTCAATTAAAATCCTGCCAAGGTATTTCTTGCAATTTTCCAGACGACTTACAAAAAAAGTAAATTTGACTTCTGTGTGTGATTAAAATGATAAATTTTGATAAAGAGGAGGAAAAATAATTGCGCACGTCAGCTCTTGTTGAACCACAATGCCATACAAGTCGTCACATTTATGAGGAAAACCATTTCAGGCACAAAAATTATATAAGAATTATTAGGACGCTTTTTCACTTGCTTTTTAAAAATTGAATTTTTATATTTTGGAGATTTTTCAATTGAATTATCAGTTTGTTTATTCACAAAACTCGCTTAAAATTTAAGATTAATAGATCTAGATAGATGGAAAGAGAAAAAATTTGCATCTCATAATTAAGAAAAAAAAGTGGAGAAACAAAAATTAAAATTAATATCTAGCGGAATGAAAAGCAGCGACTTGAGGAAAACCGCACGATAATTATATTTTAATGACGTAGTTCAAAATGCATCGATAATTTTATGAAATAAAAATAGCTCTGAAGCTTCCTTTCCTGCTGGTCAGATTTTTTATGATTGGCGGTGGAAAAAGCCAGTGATAAAAGTTGGGGATAAAAGGCTTTGGCGAATCGACAGATGGACACACAAGTAGAAAGACTAGCCATGGCACGTATCTTTTTGCTGATCGTTTTGCTCGTCGCCGCCGCCCTGGCCAACGAACCTTCGAACAAGGTACTCAAAAAATTCATATTTCTTAATTTTATTATTCACATGGCAGTTGTAATTTACAAATTTCTTTTCATATTGAAAATAAGTTATGTTTAAAATTTTTAACTCTTATAGCGAAAAAACAATGACGCTTAAAATTATTAATATAAGAAAATCTCAAACTGACACATTCTGATGAAATCGTGCAACAACAATATTTGCTTATAAGGCAAATTAGTTCACAAAAATGATTCAATATATAGCAATTTCTGCTTCTAGCAACAAGAATCAGAGTTTCAACAGGAAATGTTGAAGAATTTGAACAAAACAAATGAAAATCTGGACCGTTTTATGAGAAGCGTCTACGAACAGGTTCAAATTTCAATTCCTTGCGTTGGAGATTAAAAAAAAAAATCGTGAATCTTATTTTTTGGCTTTTGCAGGTTGTGGTGACGCGGAAGGCGGCGGAGGAGCAAAACGAGGCGCTGATCAAATTTTCCGTCGCGACCAACGATCGACTGGACCAAATGGCAAAAACGGTACGAGATCATTTTTAACATGGAATAATGTTGATATTTGTAAATATTGCAAATCTGCCCCAAAATGAAAATGAATTTTAAAAATTTAATTGTGAAACCAGATGATAGACGCGGAGAAAAATTTGAACGAAACAACTAACGACAGGTTCAATCAGTTGCAAAAACAAAATGAGCAGGTGAGCAAGAAAAATATTTTTAATTGATCACAACGACTAAGATCATTGCGAAATTCAAAAGTGATAGCGTCAGAAAAGCAGGAATATAAAAAAATCATTTGAATTTGTCACAATTTAAAATTAAAAATACCATGGGATGAGTTTATTCATCACATATATTAAATAATCCTAAACCCAAAAATTAAACCATAGAAATTTCAAGTTTCATTGGAATGAGTAATTGAAACTGATTAATAAAAAAAGAACGTGATTTTTGCATTTATTATTTTTTTAAAGGCTTTAACACTGCATCAAAGTCGCCAATATAAACCATCAAGAGGGTTATTTAATTAATATAATGATTAAAATCAGCAATTTTTTGTTTCTCAGACTTTGGAGTATGTGAAGCAGGTGGGAAAACAACAGAATCAAAAGCTTGATGCTTTGGCAAACCTCACCGAGCATCATATTCAGGTTCAAATTAAATAATTTCACAGGAAACTTCTCGACTCAAAAAGCAACATGTTCCTCTTTTCAGATCTTTCAAACCAGATTCCCTCCGCACTGCAACCTCGCTCGTAAGTTTTTCAAATTAGACAATATTAGCGTCCCAAAAACCAAAAAGATTTAATTAATTTCCTAGGTTCATCAAAACTGACGTTGCTGACCAACGGCAAGAAGTACTTTTTTTCTCCAACTTTCGTAAGTCTCAACTGGCAGCCCGTTTTGGATTTTTCTAATTTTTCTCCAACAGACAAACTGGAATTCTGCAAATGAGACTTGCGCCAAAATGGGCCTCCATTTGGCCACAATCAGAGATCAAAATGAGGCACTGATAGTTGCGACAGGAGGAAAAACATTTTATCCTGGTGAGGCAAAACAATATGAATAACCCGCGACTTTTCACTAATCAGAAAATAACTCTGCTTTCAGGTAATTCTTGTTGGGTTTCGGCAAAAAACCAGGGAAGGGGAAGTGAAAAGGACTTTCGTTGGAGCGACGGAACCAAGTTGGCGTTGAACAGTCCGTTGTGGATGGACAAGGCGGACAAGAAGAAGGACTGTGTCCTCATCTATCATGGATGGAATAAGGGAAAATTGAATGGCAACATATGCACCATTAATCAGCCTTTCATTTGCGAACTGCCAAACGAATGTTACTGAGAATCAATTTTATTTGCTTTATCGCCGCGATTCAAGAAGTTTTTCAACGCAATCAAATGTAAAATTTAAACGTATATAAATTTTCCATCACTTTGGCCAGAATGTCTTGTTGAGAACACGGTTTTACCATTCGATTTTGGAATAAATTTGGTAAATAAAAATTTATAGCGCAGTTTTATTTTAATCAGCCCTTCTTTTTCTTGGCTTGCAAAAAAACTGCTCAAAAGCCACTTCAAATTGACTCAAAAAAATAAGTCAAGTCTCTGTTGTCAAATTGTCTTATAATGCGCGTAGTCTGTTGAAATTAAAAAATAATGGCGCAAGTTTTTGTTTTCTAATCGCTAAATTTAATTCAAAGGCGCTTTTCATGAAAATCACCAATTCTGTGGTTTATTTGAGCTCCACGGATGTTTTGAAAGAGCGTTTGTGAATAATTTTTTATTAAAACAAATTAGGCAAAACACATGCAAAATAAGAATAAATTGAAGCGGTGTTAAATTTCATAGTAAACTTGACGTGACGAAAAATGCCACGTTTTTACCAAAAATTAGAAACAAGGCGATTCCACCTTAAGATTCCTCGCGATTGATTGGTCCGCACAAGAGTCCCGCGATAATTCTTCTCATTTCGCTCTGCAGCAGAAGCAGCAGCCGGGGAGAAAGAGTGTGTGTGTGTGTGTGTAATCAAAAAAGTTTGTCGCGGCGGAGGGGAAAATTAAACAGATGCATTTTAATTCTCCTCTCTTTCTCTCTTGCACACACAAAAAATCAATAGCAAGTTGCAAGGAAGAAATATATAAAGACAGGAAAGAAGCAGAGTCGCCCCCGTTCGTATTTTTTAATGCTTTGTGAGTGTGTGTGTGTGTGTGAGAGAGAAAGAGAGAAAAAGAGTCGGCCGGGTTCTTACACTTTTTGCTGAATTAATGAGAACGAGCGAGGCAGCAGCTCTCCTTCCGTCTGCACTGCTGCCGGCGACCGATCAAACTTGAAAATGACAAAAAAAAAGTGAATTGATGATGCGTGCTGTAAAAAAAATCGTCAGATCAATTAAATTTGTAAGTGACTAACTCTAGTGATTAAACTGGAATTAATTAAAAGATAAATTATAAACAATAGAATCATAAAAATTTACATACTTAATTAATTTTAAATTCAATGAAGGTAAAAAAAGGAAGGGTTTTAATATTATTGCTGCAAAATTTTTCAAGTTATCACAATTCCACATTTAATTTGTTGAAGCAAAAAATTCAATGAGAAAATTTAGCGCCAAGAAAACTTCTCTCTATGTAAAGGATTTTCCTTTTCATCAAATATTTCCTTTAATAAATTAGGAGATAATTAAAATTAAATTATGTATTTATGAGATATTTGAGACACAATAATTATGAGAAAAATTATAAGAGAAAATCAGAAATAAATTAAATAACATTTGGATTTTTGAAAAGAAAGTAACCGTAAATAAGAGATTTTTTTTAAATTTCAATCAGAATATTAGAATATTATCTAAAACAAGTGAAATTAACCAACAATTAAAAAAATTGATTACAAAACAATATTTGTCTCTATTTGAAATTTTTTTGCAGAATCGCAGCTGCTTTGTTTGAAGTTGATTCACCTCTTCATGTTCGTCCGCTGGGAAAAGTGCAGCGTTGATTTTTTGCCACACATGCATTTTTTTGCGCAATTACTCAATTCACTCACGTGTGCGCCGGTGGCCGAGCGGGCGGGCGGGCAATTAATTAGCGCAGAAATTAACGACAAGAGGAAGCGCGCGGCTTAATTACCACATGTTGTGCTCAGCGCCGAATTTGTTTGATTTAATGCACCGCCACAATCGTATGGTAAAAGAAAATCATTTCATTGCACTCCGCAAGCAAACAGGATGAGCATTTTTTCGTCGTCATTAATAATGCATGGAAGGAAGCAAACAAATATTTATACGCGAACATCAACACTTCAGAGTTGAATCCTTTAAATATTTAATTCAAAATTAAGAAAATAACAAAAAAAAAAATAATATTTCAATTAATTTATTAAATATTTATTGTTGTTCATTGAACTAAATTTTAGATGTAAATTTTTGCCCCTCCTTCGTTGGGTTGGAAAAGTTCTTTGCGTTTTTGGCCGCATACTTACTTCAATGGACCTCTGCTGAGTTATTCATCGGCCCTTATTATCTTTTCACGGGAGAGTAGAGCGTGAAAGGGGTGGCGATTTCATCGGCCTGCAACTCAACGCGAACTCTCAAACACAAGGAAATAAATGCATAAAATGATGTTGGTTGAGTGAAAATTAAAAGTAGTGTCGGCGCCGGAGAAAAAGCGAGACGCGAAGTGGATCACTGACCGCAACACGCTGCTGCAAAAAAACAAAATCTCTTTCTCCTGTCGCTGCTTTTCTTTCTCTCCTATGCTATTTCAGTGCAAAACCTCTTGTTATTCTCTCGGGTCAGTGCGCCACAAATCCGGAACTACATAACTGAAATATTATACTTATTCAAATTGTTTTAAATTTTTTAAATATGTTACATATTGGACTGTTTTGTTACATAGATTTAAAAAAAAAAAAATTGAAGTTTTAGACTATGCGGTGAAAAGTCTTTTTGATTTTAAATCGATTAAAATTTATTCTTACATTGGATTTCATTGAGTCATTTTGATTCCACATATATGAGACTACAAAACTCTTTTTTTAAATATTTTAAATAAGAAAGATTAAAAATTTCTGGAATCATTAGTGAATTTTAATTGAATTTTTTCACATAATATAGATTATTGTAGAATTTTCATTTTTAAATTTTTAGCATGTTTGACAAATAATTAGGTACAAATTTAAACTGCAATTTATTAAAATTTCATATCTTGACAAAGTTCATCCACGTCTTCTTAAAAAATCAATTTAATCTGTTGAATCATAAATTGATTAGCTAAGGAAAAACGTTTGATAGTTTTGGTACTCATTTTTTGTTTTGCGCATTTTCAAATGAATTAAAGGGACTTGGCCTTTAAATCACATTTTCTGTAAAAAAAAAAAAAAAAAAAAAAAAGCTTCTTTAAAGCCAAAAAAATTAATTCTGAATCTAATCTCTCTCTTAAAATTTGATAGCGGGTAGGAAATGTAGTCATTGAAACAAAAATCAGCACGGCAAGTAATAAAAACTATGCAAATTAAAAAACGACAAATATAAGCATATTGATTGATTCTCGGTTACAAATCGCCATTTTTTATACTGGATTTTGGACAGATCAAACTATTTGATGTTAATATAAGATTTAGATTTAATTCTAAAATTATAAAGAGTTATTTATTCTATTGAAATAATGAATGCTTATAATTCTTAAAAAGCATACAAGAGTTTTTCTTTGGTTCAAAAAATTACTTCAAATTTTTAACATAATAAGGAGTGTGACAAGTTTTCCTTGTACTTATTTGTCATGGAACCAATTTTAAGCCGATATGAAACCAATTTTAGTTACCAAATTTGCATATTATCCACAATTTGAACAAGAATCGCATTTGATTTGATTTTAAATGCATTATATCGATTTGTATTTTGCTTTGACACTGCTCGAATGCCCCGAAGCATGTGATGCACTCTTTGAGAAAAAGAGAGAAAGATAAAAAGTTTTTCTACTCGCCTTCTTATCGCAAATAAGAAGAAGAGTTTCATTTGCAAAGAGAACTCATTAAGAATCCGCCGCCGCCGCCGCAATAAACACACAAGCGCGCTCCAATTCAATATATATAAAAAGCCTTTCCATGGAAGAGACAATCAAGGGAACGAGAGAGAAAAACGCGCGAGAAACAATCTAAATAAAATATTGCGCGTGCAATTCCGGACGGGAAGCTGCGTCGAGAATATATATTCCGTCTTAATAATTCGGACGGAGGAGAGAAATTAATTTTCTATTCGGCGCGCCGGGGATGAGTGAGAAGTCAATCTGCCGTGCGGGGGGTGGGGAGGGGGTGGGTGGGCGAGGGTGGACGGTGCTGGGCAGTTAATGCTGCGGTTTGCATCTCGGCAGAGGGTTGAAGAGGGTGCGCAGGCTGCGGGGTGACTTCATTCAGACAGATCTTAAGACGTCAAGCGGGCGAGCAGGGAGAGAAGAGAGCCAAGAAGCCCAGCGGTCCCTCCGCTCGCTCTGCCATTATGTATTTTCCATCCCGAACTCACTCACACACACACACACACCTTTGTGTATAATACACGCGTACACAGGGTGGCATCACTTAAGATCAATATTTAGCAGCTTTAGCCGGGCACTGCTTCCTTCGCATCGATCCGCCCCCGCACTCACACACACACGTGAATTTGACACATCTTAATTACAATTGCTATGCACATTCAGCCCCCAACAACCCCCTTTGTTAGGCGACCGGCCAGCCACAGACGGACCTCGATTCGCCACTTTCCTTTGTGATTGCAAACTTTACTTATTATTGAGAAACAAATTAAATGCTTCTCACTTGAAATAAAAGGTAAAATTGTTTTGTCCTTTTAAGAGAAAACTTGTTTCAATTTTAAGGACTTAAATGACAAAAGATTATAAATCAATAATAATAAACAAGCATAATTGAAAATTTAACTAATTCTGTACGTACATTGAATAATTTAATTAGTTTCGTAAGTTAATTTTGTGTAAATTTTTGATAGCAAGTTGATTTTTTTTTATTTGTGGCAACAATGATAATTCTCCATTTCTAAATAGATGTATTTGTGCTATAGACTGAATATTTTCGAGGGCATTTTCATTTAATTAATTTTCCTCTCTGAAAAGAATTGATGCAAAAGGTAGCTTAGAATTATATTATTGTTTTTTTTTTACCACTCTGTTGTTTATCACGTCATAAACCCTCAAGATAAAGAGTTATTTTAATTTTAAGTATTTAATTCATTCAGCTATTTTCAACCTTTTTGATAAAGAAATAAATAAAAATACATTTCAGAAACAAAAATATTCTTAATTTAGATAAAAAATTCTGATTCAGAAATTATTGAAAAACAAGCTTCCCAAAAATTTCTATTGAAAGGATGATTTTTTCTTTTCCGCTACAACAAATCTCTTTAATTTGAAAAGGTAAATGTGGAAAAATTCAAATATATTCAAGATGAAATCTAAATTTTTTCTTCTAATTTCATTTTACAGTTCCAAAT